TAAAAAACCTCTGGCTTTCTCTCAGAATTACACCAATTCTTATAGGGATACATTTGGTTTGCAAAAAAGTGTTTAGTAAAGCAGCAAACAGAGGAGGCAGCACGAGCCGTCTGTGCACCTTTGAACTGGTTCATTTTTCAATGTTCATTTTTCAAAGAAGGTTTTGTAAATATTCAGATTATCTCAGTATTTGATAAGATCAGCGTCCATTAACCACCATTATCATAATATATTATATAATAAATGTATATAGAGTTCAGCTCACTCTTTCACCACTCCCACAGGAACTGGTGTTTGTCACTCTTTTAAATGACAAATACTGTTGTGTCGTTCTTCATACCCCCCCCCCCCCTTTAAAGTGCTACAATAAAACCATGAATGTGCTTTCACATAAATCCCGCTCCATCAATGGATGTGCTGCCAGGGGATCTTCAACTGGAAAAAAAAAAAAACTTGTAAAAAAAGAAAATGCAACGAAGCTCCTCCGTTGCCTCAGCATGTGGAAATGCAATGTGAGAAAGGGGATTAAGCCTCCGACACACACATACACACAAAAAAGAAAGAATTACAGTTACTACACTGGCGAAGCTCTGCGTGAATCCACACTGAGCAGCACTCATGCACAGCTCAGTGGAACCGGGGAGGTCGGCAGAGGGAGACGGAAATGGATTGTGAAAGGTTGGAACTGAGGAGGGACGGGGGCAGAACATTGGTGGGCAGACAGAACGCCGAAGACGACGAAGGCCTGAGTGTAAAAGTTATGGACAGAAAAAGAGATTCACCCGGCGACTTTTACCCCCCACCGAGATGATCTGACTGCGCGCTTCCCCGCTGCGAGGCCTGAAACGGCCGTAATACAGCCCATAAATCACACATGTCACATTTCAGTGTTTTTCAGCTTCTTGTCTTAACGTTTTTTTGTCCTCGAAGTGAAAGACTTCAGAGTTCTCAGTGAACTGGCTCTATCTTTTATTCATTTCCTTGTCATTGCCCAAGGTCTTGAGCACCAGTACCAGGAATACGTTACGTCTCACATTAGAATTGAATTACGCAGTAATACTAAAAAGATCAGAAATCATAACAATATCAAGGCAATTTTGAAACCTCTGTAAACGGTGTGCTTCTTGGACTTAATAAAAAGCAGCAGTGAATGCTATGAATTTAATACTAAATATGTGCATGCAATTATACCACCGGTGTCCACCATAATTTGCAGATAAAAGGAAGGCAGCGAGTCACTTACTGAGGCGTAGTTGAGGTTAGCGTTCGCCGTAGTTTCTTACAGGAAATCGTCTACTTGACAAATGACAAATTTAATCCCTAAACATAATCAAGTTTAGAAAAGTCAGTAATGTATCTGACAGCAGAAATTGGCACTCGAGTGCTGGCACCGACTGTGCGGTGAAGCAGCGCGAATACATTCAAACTATGGAATGAAATGAATAATTACCTCCTTCTTCCATCAAATCATGGAACCCCGTGGGTCCGTCTATGATCTGAGGGCAAAGTGACTTCGGCTCCAAGAAAACAATGAGCTTCTCTCTCTCTCTCCCCCGCTGACACTGTCTCTCTGATGCTGATGGCAGTGCTGCCGGCGTGAGTGTGTGTGTGTGTGTGTGTGTGTGTGTGTGTGTGTGTGTGTGTGTGTGTGTGTGTGTGTGTGTGTGCGTTTGTGTTGTCGGTCTGTGCCTGGCAGCTGCAAGCCAGTGATTCATGGTGAATAACAGGTCACTGCTAATCTCATTAGGGCTAATCAGATGTATATGATATGTATAAACAGTGGAGTTCTTCTGTACACGAGCAGCGGCGATACCCGTCCATCTCATGCAGGAAGTGATGGTGTGTGTGTGTGTGTGTGTGTGTGTGTGTGTGTGTGCGTGCGTGCGTGCGTTTAGAAGAGTGCTGGGTGAGAGGCCGGCGGATTGGGACGAGATGAGAGGAGAAAGGGAGATGACTTTTTATCGGTGGAATTATGGAAATATGCACATGCAGGTGGGAGAGCTGGCGTGAATGCTGATGCAGCGAGAAAAAGAACACGTTTGCGTAAACACACGCACACACACGTACACAACATCTAGTTGAGTGCAGTTTGCAGTCCACCGTTTCTAATTGAGGAAACCGCACGTAAGCATGAGAAACGAGGCGTGCCTTTGGGGAGGATTTAGGTCCGCCACTATGCCGGATAGCACGCGCGTGCATGTGCGTGCGTGTGTGTGTGTGTGTGTGTGTGTGTGGGCACCCATTTTGCTAATACGTTTCTGCATATGTGTGTTAATATCTGCATGTGTCTCACGTGTCGTGTAGCTACGAGAGAGGCAACGTGCAGAGATGAACTAAGACACGGACGGCAAAGGGCGGCAAAGGGAGATGTAAGGCGGAGAAGAAAAACGCCGTGTGGGTCATTAAACGGAGGAAAAGGGCATCTGGCCGGGTGCTTTTATTGAAGAGGGAGGCCGCGTGGTAGCGGATGGTTATGTGGGTGTCTGAGGCAGAGAGAGAGAGAGAGAGAGAGAGGGAGGGAGGGAGAGAGGGGGAGAGAGAGGGAGGGGGGGAGAGAGAGGGAGAGAGAGGGGGCACCATGCTTGCTCTGGAATAAAAATCAACATCCCTCTTTGATTGGTTTTGAATTGAATGCAATCTGCCAGAGGTGTGAGCCATCATCCCCCCCATCTTGTCCTCTCCTTCCGCTTGACGCCGGCCGCTCTTTGTTTTCATCACAAAGGGGTTTTCAGGAATGTTCGGCTCCAAAGAGAAAAACTCAACACAAAAATCAGTCCACAGTTAAAGATGGAATTGCAGTGTTCAGAAATGACGGAGGAGGAGAAGTTGTAGAGTAACAAACATGACATTTATTTAAAATAAGAGGCACTTTGAGGGCATTTTCAGTATTTCAGCTTCAGTGTGGAAACACGGCAACTGTGTTCAGACAGATTTAAATAAAACTCTTTGCGCTGCTGCTGATGAAGCATTTCTATTTTGAGAACTCAATAATATGCTAATTTAATCATGCTTTGAGTCTTATTCTTGTTTTGAAAAAACAGTATGCAGTGTCTGATTAATCATAATTTTCGTTATCAGCCTTCAGTCACAGATCAATGTGATGCAAGAAAAAATCCCTGCTGGATTTAATATTCAGGCAGCACTCTTTCACACTATTTTCTGTTGGATTTCTTTTCCAATAAGTCCCACATATATAATATATGTATCGTTTTTTCAGTATTCACTGATAAATGGAAAGACTTGAGATAAAAGTATAAAAATGTGATATTGATTGATTTGGGGCAGGAACATTTCGGTCAAATGAAAAAACTGAAAGACTTTATTTTCATTTACAAGAAGAAGCAGTTAAAGGAAGCTCTTATACATTTTGAGTTGAATCAGTTCAACCCTGTCTTGGTCAAACTAAAATAATTTCTAAGGTTGATTTGTTGAAAAGAATTTACTGAAAATAGAGATAGAGAGAACTTGACTGAAACTTTTTTTTAGTGATTACAACTTTTCTGAAATGTTTTGAAGCTGTTTTTGGTAAAAATAGTTCAAAAGAGCCTGTACGTCTTTGGACATGACAAACTTCAGCGGATAAAAAAAAGTGTGTCGATGCTGAGAACTTCTGCGCAGAACTTCTCCTCACTATTCAACAAAATATATGAGCAGAATGACACTCATTTCCTAATCAGAATTTGCCTTGAACACCGCCGCAGTCGCGCGGACACACACACACACACACACACACACACGCGTGCGCTGCCTGCACTGCGAGAGCAGATATGGCTTTAGAGCTGTTCCCTTTTCCCAGGGAAGCAGCGGGGATGAAAGAGTGCAGGGATGGGTCCCCCTTCCTCTCATCCGCTGCTGCCTTTGACATCAGCTGCCACCAACTCCAAACGAACCGGAGAGGCGGGTTGGAGGGGGGAGAGGGAGGGGGGCGGGGGAGGGGGGGGTGACATGCTAAAAACTGACGTGTGCCCACCGATGCAACCGCCGCACCGCTATTGGAATTAAGATTTATTACTTTATTTGAGCTGCCACTATAAATATAGGTTGGTATGTTGTACATGGAGAAAAATGTCTCCTTCCCCCTGTGCATGGAGGGCATGGACGCTCCGCTGCGCCTATAGAGACAACATAGGGAAGTGATATGAGCGGAACAGCAGCCCGCTGGTCTCCTGCGGTGCGACTCGCTGCGCCAAGGCCCCTCTCGTTCTCCCTGACAGCCGGCACGTTCACAAAGACCCTATAGCTGCAGATACTCATTGGCCTCAGAAACCATTTTTCATGCTCCGCTCACAGGTCGGGTCACCCAGGACTTGTCAAATAAGATCAAGCGCGGAGTGTTTCAGACTGTGTGGGACCATGGAAAGAGGATCTAGGCTAAGCTGCGATGCTTCCACTTGGAGAAATGTAGTGTCTGAAACTGTGAGGACAGACGATATGAAAGGTATCTCATTCCACGAGCGGCAGGCGGAGAGTGAAGATAAACCTCAGCCTCTGACGGTCACGCAGCGAAACGCTTCAGCTTTCGCATTCACTCCCTTTGATGACTTATACCAGGGGTTGGGTGGATGGCTATCTACGGTGCTTTTGAATCCAGCTTGTTGTACCGACTCTACCAGTCTGGTTTTTCCCGTTGGCACTGGTTGCCTGGTTCTTTATTCCCTCTCCCTTAAAAAAAAAAAAACATCACACCCATCAGGAACCATTAGTCCTCACAGGGACAGGCCGGCCTTCCACTGAGAGACTCTCCGTGGCAGAGCGTTCTCACTGCCTTCAGACAGTGGCCGGGTGTTTTCCCTAACAGCCTGAGACACGGTGTCATTTGTGTGTACGGCATTTACTACTGGGAATACTTTTAACTCACGTCCTCTGGTCCCGACGAAAGAGTACCGCTCGTCACCCGCGGCTTCTTGTGCTCCTCAAACAGACAGAATGAAGGTCATGTGGACCGACGCATTGGCAGGTGCCATGAAAAATGTCTAATTGTATTACCTTCCTGTCCGCAGACGGATGCGGCGCTGATGTACGACGCCGTGCACGTGGTGGCGGTGGCGGTGCAGCAATCTCAGCAGATCACGGTCAGCTCGCTGCAGTGCAACCGCCACAAGCCGTGGCGCTTCGGGGGAGGCTTCATCAACCTCATCAAAGAGGTACAAGGCCGCCTGCTCAGACCTCCGACCTGTGGAATCCGCTGAACGTTGTGGCTCGGACGCTGTCACACGACACGGCGGAATGGCGTGAATGCAGAGTGCACGGTGCATTTGGGGGGGATCTATTTACAGAAAGGGAATATAACTATATCTCCATAGGATTCCTTGGCTTTCGCTACAGTAGCTTGAATGGGCCCTTCACATGTGTTGCACCACTATATCTATTTGCAGTTAACAACAAAGAAAACACTGGCTCCGGGCCAGAGCGGCGTTTTTTACGGCCTCGGAGCGTGGCGAACCGCGGCTGCCAGCGGTCGCGGCTCCCATTACCACAGTCTTGAGGAGCGAGCGGATCAGACAGCGAAGCTCCCGGCGTGGACTGAGGCGCTTTTTAGTTTACGCACTGCGTTCTTCTCTTTAATAAAACCTAAATGAACAGAGTCCAAGAGACGACCAGTGCAAACCATAGATTTGCCTCGAGGTGTCACAGGCAAGGAGGCATAAACAAACCTCCACCGTAATGATTATCTGTTAATTCATCTCATATTCATGGAACGACTTATTAAAGTGTTCTTAGAAAAAACGGAAGGTGGAAAACCCTGTAAACAATTTGATTTGGCTGGATAAATATATACTCCAGTGAAAATGTTTAACATCTCGAGTTTCTAAAGCATATCAAATTGCGTAGAGTTTTGTATAATCCCTAGACATGTGATTAAATTCAGAGGTAATTATGTAATGTTCCGACCTCTGCTTCACTGCGGCGAGCATAAACTACGCTTGAGACGGCAGCAAATCTTACACACTCTCCAAAGTCTGATGCTTATTTTTAGCCCGCAAAATAATCCTCAGCATGTCTTTTAAACACATTATTCACAGCAACTACATTTTCTTTTGTGATGTTTTCGCTCGCCGTCGGCCACTTTCTCTCCATGCATATCTCCACCCGTGTTTATATCAAAGCCTCCGCGTGTCTCCTCCACCGTAGTCCGGGTCAGCCATTTGCTTTGTTCTACAAAGCTCTTTCATTCGGTGGATGGTATCATTGCAGGTAATTTTCAGATTGAGCTATTGTAGTAGCTGGCGCTCGCTCCCACTCCTGTGTCTGCTATCGCTCTCCATGCCCGTCTGTTTCTCCAACGGCTTTGAAGTGAAACTTCAAGCACAATGAGCCGCATACATAATGAGCACTTACCTGTCAAAACTGCTTTTATTCCCGCTGCTTTATTGTCTCCTGTTATGTTGTCGGGACAGACAGCGAGGGGAAAGCGAGGCAAAATTCCTAATTGGGACGGGAAAAGTTTCAGGGGTGGCGGGTTGGATTGATGCTGTCGAGGGAGACGATAACTTAAGGTTAATGGAACGACTGCGCGGAGGACTTTTGATTTATTATCGCACGTGCTTCTGTCCGCAGGCCCACTGGGACGGTTTGACAGGACGCGTTCTCTTCAACAAGACCAATGGACTGAGGACAGATTTCGACCTGGATGTCATCAGTCTGAAGGAGGAAGGGCTGGAAAAGGTGTGTCGGACCTCGGTGGAGTTGTTGCTGTGTGGCTTCTGAGCGTTCGGGGGGGTTAAAAATAGGAAATGTCAGGCTTGATGCTTTGAGGCATTGTTTTTTTTTCCTGTCGTTGCACAAGGTGATAGAAAGTTGACACTGAATTGTTTCAACAGATTGGAACATGGGATCCTCCCAGCGGCCTGAATATGACGGAGTCTCACAAAAGCAAGACGTCTAACATTACAGACTCTCTGGCCAACAAGTCCCTGCGTGTATCCACCATACTGGTAGACACGGACGCATGAAAACACTCAGTCAACGAAATACGCACAGAAAAATAAAAACAGCTTGAATTTCTTTTTCCGCACAGGAGGAGCCGTATGTGATGTTCAAGAAGTCGGACAAGCCTCTGTATGGAAACGACCGCTTCGAAGGCTACTGCATCGACCTGCTGAGGGAGCTCTCCGGCATCCTGGGCTTCCACTACGAGGTGCGGCTGGTGGAGGACGGGAAGTACGGAGCGCTGGAGGAGACCACGGGCCAATGGAACGGCATGGTGCGGGAGCTGATGGACCACGTGAGTCGACAGCCGTCGGAAGATGCGGGTTTATTTACTTGCAACTGCCAAGTATCTGACGTCCCAAACGAACGGATCGCTCCAGTGATGTCTTCCATTTGCTACTCCAACAACTGAGCGATAGTTCGATAGTTGGCATGAACGGCAGAAAAAAGAAAGAGCCCGACCTACACAATCTCCCAAAAAAAACAGACACAGTCTTGCAAGATAAAAATAAATTGACACCGTATGATGAAAAACATTTACCTTGTGAGGGTCGTGGAAAAGTATCACCCAATGATCGTTATTCTTGGTGACACTTTATAATAATAATAACAATCTAATCCCAAAATTGGTGGGCAATTTGTGACTCGCTTTCACTTAAGAAGGATCAAGCATAGTACCTGTGATTTGCAGGTAAACTCAACCCGCCTACCATCTGACCCAATGACCACAGCTACCCCGCCTTCACACGCCCATCACACACAAACTCAACCGCTGTTATCTCCTTACAGAAAGCGGACCTGGCGGTGGCTCCTCTGGCAATAACCTACGTCAGGGAGAAGGTCATCGATTTCTCAAAGCCCTTCATGACGCTGGGGATAAGTATCCTGTACCGAAAGCCCAACGGCACCAACCCGGGCGTCTTCTCCTTCCTCAACCCCCTCTCCCCCGATATCTGGATGTATATTCTGCTGGCTTGCTTGGGTGTCAGTTGTGTGCTGTTTGTCATAGCCAGGTAACATGTCACGCCCCACCACCCCCCCACCTCTCCCGCCATCCCACCTTTCCCTCTCTTCTTCCTTCCTTCCTTCCTTCCACACGATTGTTGAGAGTTGCACCGACCTGTTACTCGTGGCAAAAGCCCTCCAGCAAGAGGCGGTCCGGACCTCTTTATTCTTAGATTAGACCAAACGTGTCCTATAAGGGATCATACCTGTGTTTTTCGTTCATATTTTTAAAGCATACGGTGCCTTGGGCGTGAGATTGTTACTTTTTTAAAATATAACTGAAAGTGTAGATTACAGAACTTCCCAGCAGCACCTGAACTCATCACCCAGAAAAGTGTTTGAGCATCATTATCAAACATTGCAAAATGTTAAAAATTAAAACTTAAATCCTTAACGCCTAGAATCAAAAAGTGAATTAAAAGACTTCAATGCCTGAATGATTTCATAACCTGTTGAATGAGCTAAAACAAGTAAAACCGGTGTGTCATTAGTGTTATCTGACTCCTCATGCAATTATGCACAAGCATCATCAGCTGCAAAACCGGCTACCAATTATACACCTGTTATGGTGCAAATATACCGGAACGATACCGTTAGATATCTTGTTACGTTTAGATAAGCCACCTCCCTGAAACTGCAGACGCATGTAGAATGTGTGTTAACCCCAGGGCTCCTCTTCTTCTCGTTTCATTCTGAGAGGTTTGGGTTTAGCTCACATTTCATCTGATGTTACCGGCACAATGATCACACGAGAGGTAAGCAGCAACTGTCACCTAAGTTAGTTCAGAATATGCAAATCATGCGTCGTGGCCCTTTGTTTACACGGTTGGTCGGGGTAAGTGATTAGCATGCAACGGTATTGATATTCCTGGTGATGATGAAATGGTCTATTCAATCTTAATGCGCTTGCATGCTTATCCCCCTTTAAGTTGCACGCGGTGGCAAATGATAGTGCTTGTTTTCCCCTTAACTGAACAAAAACATTCATCACCGTTTGATTCTGAAGTACAGTCTTTTCTTCTCCAGTACGCCGGGCTGGTTCTCTCATAATTGAAGTGTTGATTGCACAGCCACCGATTGATTGGTCAATCCCCCAAACGCAGAGTATATTATTTTCTTGAATCGGCTGCTAATAGAGTGAGTTAAGTTGAGCTTATGAAGTACACGTTTTGCACAATAAAACGCTAAAGACCTCGACCTCACCAGGGATTCACGTCTGTGAAGGTGCGTGCCGCACACACAAACAAACAAAACATTTTTCAATTCAACCTCCAGAGAAATACATACAAATACTTTTTTTGCAATTTAATTGACTTTTCTCTTTATTAAGAATATATAATAATCATATTGCATATCCCTTTTCTAGTGTAAGAATTGTCCACCGGCCAAGAAGAACGCATGATGTGGATGTGTAATTGCAGGATCTCACATTTTTTTGCACAGTTTCCACAAACTTAACCTCTCGAAAACTCCCCCTTTACTTGGCCTGGGAGAAGAAGAAAAAAAGCAGTATAACCATAACGTCAGTCAGAGTAATTGAATCCAACAGAGAGTTAATGGAGGGAGCGCGTTGTGTTATTGAGGGCGGGGACGGACAAAGGAGAAGAGAAACGGGAGAGAGGGAGAATCTTTTTAGAATTCCGCTTGCAATAGGACACGTCCCCCGTGCCCGGTGTGAGGAGGTGACCTTACGTCCGCGTGTTCCACGTCCTATTCTTCCCGGCGATCGGTGTGCAGAACACAGCCTGCAGGAATACGGGCCGGCCGCAGGCAAAGGTCACGCAGAGGAGCCGTCGGTGGGGTTGCATACAGAATGCATCGAGAAGGACGAGCGCAATCCAATCATGAGCATGTTGGATAGATTTACAGGGATTTACACTCACCTGCGGCACATATCGGATGTTAGCAACAATTAGCCTCAGGCTGCAGCTCAACGTTATATACAATGTCTGTATGCGGCTGCCTGAATAAATCCTCTCTCAAAATATTTGACTGAGATGGATTTAATTTAGCAAATGCAAATACGCAGTTGCTGCCGCGGACAGATGCACACAGCTAAAGGCAACATGCGCAAACGTTACACAGCAGCGTTAGTGGCATAAAACAATACACAAATACAAACACATCTGCAAAGCTCCAAAAGGGAATTGTGTCCTTTCAGTTGTCTTTGGTTCCAAGGAGACCAAGATCATTGACATGCCGATAAATCCGACATCCTGATGGGGTTGACGGGAGGAATTACAGTGTGTCATTGCAGCCATGTGGAAGTAGATGATTTTTAAGGGGACAGCACAGAACATATCTTCAAAGCAGGGAAAATATGAAAAGGATGTTGCCGTATCCACGATGCTTGCAAAATATGCCTGGTAATTTGGCTGCTGCAGAAACAAAGAGAGATCCAATGACATGTCTCTCCGTGGGAAACGTGCGCTGACATAAAACCGGCGAGAAATAACTCTGAGTTTGGCAACGGGAAGATGCTGCTCTGGATCCTGCACGGGTATACTCATATATGTCCTCACACGTCTCTGGAAAAGTGCGGCTGACAAATAACCTCGTATTTCTGGCCGGCCCGAACCTCCGAGATTCGACCCGCAGGCTTATTAGCATGCTGCATGATGGTGTGTGTGTGGGGGGGGTGATAAACAGCATTACCTGATGGGCTCCTCAACTTAGCATCGGCAACGTTGCCGCTAACACCCGCTTCAGCACATACTCAATCAGTTCCTGATGCTTAACACTAACCCAATCACCCTTCGCTAATACCGTGCCACTTCTGCTTAGGATAATAAATGAGAAATGTCCACAACTGACCTGAAGACGCTGACAATCAGCCAAAGCGAGGGGAGGCGAGGCAATCGGGGGAACGTGAGGTGTACGATGATGTACAAGGGTGCAGGATTGAGGAGGAAGAAGAGATGTAGGGGGGGGGGCGGTTTGAGAAACCCAACGGAAAACAACGAGTCCCATGATCGCAAAGAGGATGCGGCATCCGCACAGCAGCGGAAATCGGAGAGAGTCGCTCGAGGAAACGCATAAACATTCCTGAGTCAGTGAATCCAAATGAGCTCCGAAGATCCTCAAACACTAGGAGAGTATCACCGGTGACACTGTTATTCCGGCCTATTGATCTGTTCACACAATAAACTGATGGCATTTGAATATGCCAATACGTTGATCGCAGCGTAAGTCAGAATGATTCGCTTCGGCCTCTGCCGTCGCTCTGACCCTAAGGCCACAAAACAGGATCCTGTTCTTACCTCCCCTTTGTTCCTGCTCACAATGTTCAAAGTTGTGCGTTTGATGTGCTCTTTAATCTGCAGCATTGAACACACTGTCGTTTTCCTCTGTGCTGACGCATCTGTCCCTGTGCTCTTTCTTTTTATAGGTTCAGCCCTTACGAGTGGTACAACCCGCATCCGTGCAACCCGGACTCGGATGTAGTGGAAAACAATTTTACGCTGCTCAATAGTTTCTGGTTTGGCGTCGGGGCTCTCATGCAGCAAGGTAGTTGCCTCAGCCTGTGGCTGCTCTCTGGAGATGGAGCTCTCTGCATCCCACTGTCTCCTAGGGTTGGGTGTTTTGTACAAGCCGGCGGCAACCAGGAGAGATCTCTGGGGTTCAATATGTTTTTTCTTGTATAGAGCACATTAAATATATTTGTATGGTAGAGGTATAGATACGACTATGAATTGAGTAGAATTAAATGGCCATCGTTGAGGTATATATCCACAGATGTACTCAATTATGATACAGTCGTGATAATGAGAGTACTGTAACACCCAGAGTCCTCTCCTCTTGCCCTCGGCCCATCAGCACCTAGAGATCATTGGGGTCTGGAGTCAGGATGTGAGGTTACCTTGGGTACATGACTCTCTGGGCCAAACAGCCTGTCGCTTCGCCACGCTGCTCCAAACAAACAATATTGAATGTCTTTGATTTGATGGGATGTAATTATGCAAAAGCCTCATCCCGTGGCAATAGTCCTCTTTTTGTGTTCCTGACATTATTTAAAGAATTTGCCGGCAGCTGAGACGAGATGCTTTCACTTGAAATTCAACAAGAGCTCTCTCAAGTCGTTTCATCTTGAAGCACGTTGTGCATCAAGAGTTGAAAACTTGAAGGGAGTTCTTGAAACAAGTTTGACTGTTTAAAAAAAATAATGTTTTTGTGCATGTTAAAAATGAACAATGCTTCCTGCCACCTCCCTCAACTCAGGATCTGAGCTCATGCCCAAGGCCTTGTCAACACGAATAGTGGGAGGAATCTGGTGGTTCTTCACCCTCATCATCATTTCCTCGTACACGGCCAACTTGGCCGCCTTCCTCACTGTGGAGAGGATGGAGTCGCCCATAGACTCGGCCGATGACCTGGCCAAACAGACCAAGATCCTGTACGGGGTTGTTGAGGACGGTGCCACCATGACTTTCTTCAAGGTAGCTAAGTCTGCCAGGGTGTTTATACTGTAGTATTTGTTGCTTTTAGCTACTTTTAACAGTTGAACCCAACAAAGGAGCATCGCAAGCTGGCGTTTTCGTAATGATATCAATCAATAATTATTGCGTTTTTTGCACAGCTCCTTGGAATATTTAAAACTAATCCGCTGTCCAAAATTGAGCCTCTCTCATTGGATTGGATTTAGAACTAACCATTGTAACAAATTCATTGCCTTTCTGCAAACTGCCTTAAAAAAAGAAAACGTTCAGTTTGCATTAGCGGCGACTTACTTCAGCTCTTACAGGCTGCTACGAGAGCCAACAGCAAACAGTGAAATCAAATTGAATACATAAATGCTGTAACATTCAATTAAATTCAACACAAAAATAATAATGGCAATAGGATTTTAGTAGGAGACTATCTATGGACTATGGAGACACAGAATACCTTCAGGGACTTGAGAAGAGTGGTAGGATGGCTTTTGCATTTATTTTTTCTCCATTTCTGAAAGGAACTATTGGCATTGGTGGTTTCTTCATTAAAGCTACTCTGCTTTGATTAAACATCATATTGTTCTTAAATACTGCATCATAATAGTGTGGGGAGGGGGGGGGGGATTTTGGCAGATGGCAATGCTACTGCATCGCATCCTGTGTTAAGCTTAAGCAAGTTTTTTCTCTTACTTTGAAATATAATTATTATATCTGCAGAATTCAGGGTTGCGCGCTGTATTTTCTCCTAACGAGCCACCGATCTCATTCCACTTCCTATTCCGTTGGTATCTCTCAGAAAACAAAGATCTCCACCTACGACAAGATGTGGGAGTTCATGAACAGCAGGAGGCAATCGGTGATGGTCAAGAACGTGGACGAGGGGATCCAGCGGGCCTTGACCTCGGACTACGCCTTCCTCATGGAGTCCACCACCATTGAGTTTGTCACCCAGCGCAACTGCAACCTCACGCAGGTCGGAGGCCTCATTGACTCCAGGGCATACGGAGTGGGAACACCTATGGGTAACCGGCATCTCAGACCTCTACGCTGTGAGCCGCTGGGCTGCATGATGTGTTCAAATAACCGCTTTGAAAAGCTTTTTGTAAGCTTTTGGTAAGAGTGGACATGCTGCCGATGCTGTCTGGCAGGTAAATGTGCTGCAAATAGCGTGGATGATTCATAAGCCCTGAGAGCGGAAACGGTTGACCTTTATTGATGGGGGTCACAGATATAATGGTCCAATGGCGGCAGGTGTAAAAAGGTTCAATGAAAAGCAAATGGCTGAAGAGGTTGAATTTATGTTTACGGTTGAATTACGCCCCGGGGCTCAAGGTGGCATTGGAGCTCTCCTTTAGCAAGGTCGGGTTTTATTTCTGGCCGCAAGGATTTGCTCACAGGATTATTTACAGGGAAGGGAATCAAATCTGAGTTAAACAATCACACTTTCTTTAATGGCGTGTTGCAGCCTACTTTGCAGTCACTACGGGCGGTGAGTGAAAAGACTGTTGAAACAATCACAGAAACCAACCAGAAAGTCTGTTCGGTGCAATTCGCTGTAACTGACCGGACGCCGTTTGAATTTTAAGCTTGAAGCCAGAACAACAAAGCCCTTCAGAGCGTATAAAACAAGCCCACAAGACCTTTTCACACCTCCTTATCTATCCCTGCTCCTGCACTCCAACATTTTGATTGCCATTTCCCTGTGATGAGGCGGACGAACCAAAACCACTTTCCACTCCATATGTTATGACAACCATTCTGTTGCATTTAAAATAGTCTTTCCCGAGCTTTATAAATGCGTGGCTTATGAGCCAGACGCTTCGGGGTGGGGGGGGCTTCACGCGGCCGTAAAGGTGTCGATGGTTCCAAATCCTTGTGTCGCGGAGGTTAGAGTGGTCATGAAGAGGCCACGGAGAGCGCTCCAACGAGCTGCAATAGCCATATACATCATGAGGGATGCGAAGGCCATCAAAATAAGGAGGATTAATTCTGGCCATCCACATCTGGACCGAGCTTACTGCTGATGATTATGGGGCAGTTATGGATCTGCAGGGATGCCGTGATTGCCGTGGTTGTAACGAGGCCGAGGTGATGCCGTGAAATATAGTCCCACTGTGGCCCTTGTAGGTGCAGAAGTACACAGTAACACCGATGCCCTTGAGATGGACACACGGGCCGAGGACGTGCATCAGCTCTACTTCCATTGATGTGACAAAGTAGTGCATCAAATACTGTATATGAATACAAAATACATCCCAAATAGAATTGAATTCAGCCACAGGAGGGTTAATATTTTAATGCATGAAGGATAATGATTAACGGTGGCGGCTCTCAAAGTTATTACTTCCCTCAAAATCACTTAAATCTCAAATGCTGACATTCATTGCTTAATAATGTAGAAATAAATTTGATCACAGCTTCTAAAACGTTTCGTCTGTAATAGAAGAGGCTTTGAGAGAGTTGACTTGTATTGTTAATTCAAAGTGACTCCCGCTTGAACACTGAATGCTCTTCATTCAGACAGTGGTACTGTCCTTCTTTCTTCGTCCCAAACACACGAAGCACTCAGTCTTTGTGTCAAACTCTGGCCCTCTAACTTTGTCCGTCCTTAACACGGTTTTGCAGAGCATTTCCCTTCAGGGCTGTTAAACCAATAAACCACAGCAAGCTGTAAAATGAGTCTTAACCTCTTAGTCCTGGCTTTCGCACGTCCTTTATCCCAAACGCAAGTGCATTATCTGCGGCTATCAACTTAAACTGTGATCACATTAATACTTGAGGCCAGACAGCGTGGGAGTGATGGATGTCCTCTAGTGTTGAACATCTGTCAGGTAGTTGTGTATGCACAGTGTGTGTCGAGCGCTTTTTCCATTTGCCCGGGCCTCGCTCTCCACATCCTCCTCTCCGAGGACTCATCCTATTAGCATTTATCCAAGGCCTGCTTTGTTAGGCCATCATTAATCATTTGAAATATGAGGGCAGCCTGAATCAGGGGACTCGGATACTTGATAGATTTCTCATCTCTGAATGAGTCAAGCATATGCTTTTTTTCGCGCGTGCACGTGCGCGTGAGCCCCGCACGCGGCTGCGTTGCCAACGCCGTACGCACGGGAACAAATGACTGCATGTTCTTCGTTGTCTTAGAGCGTGCGCTTCACAAGGACATTTTGAGCACATGTCCTGGTGCTCTCACCAACAATATGACTATTCGTGATCAAAGAAACAAACACAGAAAGAATCTCGGGCACTTTGAGGCATTTTCTGTTTTCTGTTTTCACTTTGCCAGTCTAAATACGCAGAGAGGAGCAGATGAAAGGATGATGGACGGCCATAGGTAAATGATAGATGAGATGAAGGGAATCATGTAAAAGGGACTGACAGGTAAAACTGTAGGAGAGCAACAGACAAAGTGATGCTACCAGCTACCCGCGGCCGTATTCAGTTAATTTCCCCGGGAGTTTGAGCACAAAATGTTCCTGTGTTCCTAAAATGATTCAAATTAGCCCACATTATAACATTTTTACCACTCTTTCATCTCTTTTAAGTCACTAAATAAGCAGATGGAATGGACGTTTGAAACCCGAGCTTTATTATGTATGAATTCTGTGATCACATAAATACACTAACAAGCTTTTGACCCAGTTTTATTAATGAAACATGAATGCTCACAGTAAGTAGTAATCTTTCCGGGCCTGGTTGGGGCAGAGAATGAGGCGCTGCGCCTCATTTGGGGCGTGTGCTGTATGACACACGCTGTGGATGGGCGAGGAACACGACCCCTGATTGGGCGCCCTGTAACGATTACTCCTCCTTTGATCAAACACAGAAACCCGCTGCGCCTCAACGCCACGTTGCAAATTCTGCTCCCCTTCCCGCCATCTTCGGATTTGGGCTAATTTACTCATCACGACATTGACGTCCAAATAAAGTAAAGACTCCACTGGGCTCCTCTGTTTGTTTGCTTTTTTTTCGCATTCATTGCATGTGGAAGCGGGTGCAAAAAAAGCAGCTAATTCGTCGGCATCAACAGCAGCTCCGCCACACAAAGCCAAGTCTTTGTTGCCAACTCCCTGTGCATTATAATTCGCACACGGCAGAGAGGAGGGAGAATTTTGGAGTCACTCTGTGAATATAGGGATTAGTGGGATTTGAAGAAGGACTTACAAAAAAACTCCCTCTAAGCAGCCAACAATAACATGAAGGGTTATATGATCACATGCAAGCCGGAGTGTGCTTCATACACCCGCCCCCGTTAGTTATATTTATACACATTTGCTCAACAATAACTAAGCAATGCATAATCAGGTTTTCATTATCCGCGCCCACTAATCTCATCTGGTGTCCTCGCAGGATCTCCGTACAGAGATAAGATCACAATAGCCATCCTGCAGCTCCAGGAGGAGGGGAAGCTGCACATGATGAAGGAGAAATGGTGGCGGGGAAACGGCTGCCCCGAGGAGGAGAGCAAAGAGGCCAGCGCTCTGGGGGTGCAGAACATCGGAGGGATCTTCATCGTGCTGGCTGCGGGACTGGTGCTGTCGGTGTTTGTGGCGGTCGGGGAGGTGCTCTACAAGTCGAAGCAGAACGCCCAGCTGGAAAAGGTACCGGAGTCTTTTGTGATGCGTGTTGAGCATCAAAGTAAATATGTTTGTTTTTAGCATTAAGTCCTTTGTCTTGGAGATTTGTGGTTTTTATTTGGGGAGTTTTTTAGTTTTGTCTTCTACTACCTGCCTGTTTAAGGCTAACTAGGTTTTCTGGCTGAGCAGCAACGTATTCGATGCTGAAACTTACAATGCGATTTGGTTTGCATGGAGGGATGCCGATTTTGTCTAATTAATTGTCTTAATTTAAAGTCACGTCAGGATCTCTGACCGTACGGACAGAAGAGAATTATCACATCGACCACAAGCTAGAAACGAGTGTTGTTTATTAGACTGACTTGTAACACAAGGATGTGAACTGGCGCTTTAATCTGGAGATTTTTCTGAAAACAAAAACATTCACCATTCAGCGCAGCATGTTTGCAGCTTTTTGTTCTCTGCCCTCTGGTTATGTTTCTTTCTAGCAAGGAACTGCATATATTTCAGACTGTTCTATCTGTGCTCTATTTTAGTACTCAGTGCACATGATTCATCACGGCGCGGAGTGTGTATTTTAAAGCTCGTACAATGATCGTTCCAGATAATTATGAAAGTCCTTAATTATTTACAGAACCGTAGACGGCGTGTTATTAAATTGCAACGGTAGCAGATATATGGCTTCTTTAAGGTCTGCGCATGTTTCAGGGTACATCATTAATCATGAGCCGCAAGACTAGGGCACAATATTCAAATAGTTTGCAAATGCCACTATCTCTAGGCTACTAAGGTGCTAGTAATTTACATGCAAACAGCCTCTCCTCTGTTTCCTCTAAATCACGACCTTATTTTACCCCCTTGGTTCTGCTTTTATCAATCACTCCAATCCTTATTCCGCCTCGGTTTCTTTCACCGTTTCCTCGTCTCTCACCCATCTGCCTCTCACGACCTCTGTAATCACTTATCTTCATGACATACAAAATATGTCATTTATTCACCACCCAGGTGTATTTAAATAATGAGCAAAAACAAAGAAATGGCTGTAGGCCACATGCAGATATACATCTCACACACGCAAAGGAAAAATAACAGCTTGATACTTTTCCGCCGTCCCTCCTCTTGCACTGCTCTCTCTTCTAACACCCTCCGGGAATTATAATTAGGTTTTGCATAATCAGAGAGTGAATGCATTGAAATTTGTCTTGGCAAACGATACACAAGCATATTGACATTTATAGGATTTCACGCTGCATTCATAACGCAGGGACAACAGAGGACCGTTTAACTGATGTTACCGTGTGTCACTCTGTGAGGCGCTGGTAGGCGATGTTTTTAAAAGAAGGTACCAATATTTCTTTGAATTTAATGTGTCGAAGTGGATTTTTTTTCTCCTTCATTCAATATTTTTATTTTAAATGTTGAATGTTTCTCTTTGTTCTCGGCGCAGCGCAAAAGGCTCTGCAACTGCTTTCAGCTGTTTTTAACAGCAGAGCTGAAAAGGGGCCTTTGAAACGGAACTCTTGCTTTTTTTAAAGATCATATTTAGGAGACAAATAAAAATGTCGGATTGATTGTTACACTAGTCCGTGTTAAGCCTGAAGTTGACTAAAAATGTAAATCAATCATGCATTGCTGCTACATGTATGTGCATCTAACCAACTAGCTAAGAGCCATACTAGACACAACGATGTGTTCAGGTAACAACCAGAGCGAAATGCTCCTTCGGTTACGATACTGACCAGCCTTCACTTTAGATTCATTATTATTAAATAATTCAGGTGGATAAAACATAAGATTGTTTCATGATATAAACACAGAAACATTATAAATAGGTAGAAAAAAACAAGGCTTCATAACATACTTTAAAACATTATAATTATCGGCTAGAGTCTCCATCATACAGCACACGGCAATATTCAATATGCTTTTAAAAAAAGCCGACATTGGGTGAATTGTTATATTTTTGCACAGTTGCATTGCGTTGAGTAGTGCGCTGAACAGCGTGACGCCAGCTGTAACGTTACCCTCCTTCCTGTCCCCCCCCCCCCTGCAGCGATCGTTCTGCAGCGCCATGATGGATGAGCTGCGCGTGTCTCTGAAGTGCCGCCGTCGTCTCAAACAGAAGCCTCAGCCGCCCGTCATCGTCAAGACAGAGGAGGTCATTAACATGCACACATTTAACGACCGCAGACTCCCGGGAAAGGAAACCATGGCATGAACGTTGAGCTTACCCGGAACACACACGTGATTAAAAAAAACAAAACATGGAGGGCGGTTGGGGGAGGGTGGAAGGAGGGGGGTTACGGGGTCAGATTAACGCCAACCGGAGACCGAGGTCGGCCGTCAGAACAGGATTCCTTTTTGAACCCGCTAGCGTACGTAGACAGATGTTTCCCGTGGAAATATAGATGCCTGAGCGGTGTCACCTCGCTGCGACGTTCACTTCTTGAAGGGAGCTGGAAAGGAACTTAAAAGTATGTCAATTGAAAAGGGATCCAAGCCGCTTTTGGTTAAAACGTAAGCCTAAACATACACACGTACACGTAACACACACACACACACACACACACACACAACGCTCTCATCTGATACACTCTATTGTGACTGTAAAACCAGATTTTGTTTTTCTGTTGATGTCAACGCCCTTTTGTCTTACCTCCATGTGTGTTTGACCTGATCGATCCGTCCCTGAGTTCCCTTTCATCAATGATTTGAACAAACACTAATCTCCCGTCCGACGAAGGGGACGGTGGTGCCAAATGGTTTACTGTGAACCGCTGTACAAAGGTGATATTTGCTTTGGAGTCATCAATGCTTACCTTGTCCAATACTCATCGTTTTCTTCTGTGATGCCTTTCTTGTGCCAAAGTTCTGCCCTCGTGAAGAACTTTCTACCATGCCTGATGTTATGTTCAAAGCCTCTGCAAGCAACGTATACCGTCAAAGTCATTATTCACGTCTCTCCTCACATGCGGTCTGCAGTTTTCACTTTGTATCAGTTGTTGTTTAAAAAAAAAAAAAAAGCGGGATTTCTACAAAAGTGTTTGTTTTTGTACAAGAACAAGAAGTTTTGTAGTACTTTGTATCATGGTAGCCCCTCCTGTCGACAAAATATGTAGCAGATACCAACTCAGCCCTCAAATTCTTCTCAACCAGTGTTTGTGGAGCTTCAGGCTCTGCCGCGTAGGCTTCGTTTTTCTCATCGATCGGAGATTCGGCCGTTTGTCCGTCAGTATGATGGAGTATCGACAGTCAGGCGACAACGTGGCGCTTTCTGGTAGGTAAGAACAATGAAACCGAACTACAGTGGTGCTCAAAGTAAAACTATCTGTAGCTATGAAGAGTCACCACGAAACACACAGAAAAGACACGCAAATGTTGCTTGTGTTAAAACCTAAATGTAGTTCTACAATTTTCTTACCAGGCTACATTTTAGCTCTAGTAGACTGAAAACAAAATCATGTTTTTTCATGGGATCTTTGACCGTATCAAGTTCTAAAAGAGGTTTCAGTCGTACGGCAAACTTCAAAAAAGTCACATGGTTTTAGAAATTCATTTAAAGTAGTCGATGTGATAGAAGAAAAGGGTTGAAATAATATAGAACAGATGGATTCTGTTTTAGAAAAAAAAAATATAGACTATATAATAACTGGCTATAAATAACAATAAACAGGCGGTCCGTTTAGTAGCTGTTCTAACATTCACTCATATCACATGACCTTCATCAGCAACTAAAACTTTCTCAGTTGCCACGTAAACTTCTAATCGTATTCGTCGGCCTTTTTTTAACCATTCCAACTAGGAAACGCTTACCCGAGCATGTGATGTGACCGAACGACGGCGAGCAGCTACTAAGTGACGGGCTTGTTGTTTTTTTTCCGCACCTGCTGTTTTCCGTGGGCGGGCATGAGTTTTGAACCTCAGTGATGGGCGACCTGTGAATGTATGTAACAGTACAACTGCAGTAAATGTAATGTGGAAATGATCAGTGTGTGTGTGTGTGTCTCACCTTGGTGCGTCCCTCATGTTCCCTGAAGGGGACTTGAGGGAGGCATGAGGGGAGGGGGGGGGGCAGGTGGGGGGAGGGGGAGAGTCTCTTAAGTGACATGATCGCATTCGGCCCGACATTTGTTGTCTGTTAATTCTGTCCCACGTTGTGAAATGACAAGCATACTTGGTAGACCGCTTCTTCACTGTCCCCCGTCTTCTTACGCCATCCAGTTCGTCTTTGGGTCGGTTATTCGAGACAATTAAGAGACCAAAAGAGCACACGGCCAAAACGCAAGCGACGACAACTCCGCTGTGCATGGATGGAATTGATCAAATATTTATTTAAACCCGTCGCTCTTCTACAAGTGTTGCTTGTCATTTTCCATGCAGCTAGATCTCGTGGTGCGAGCCGAAGTGATTGGCTGTCCGAGGTCATGGAGTTTGACATTGATGCAAGGTTTTACAAAAAATGTCATTAAAAATGTCATAATTGTAGTGTTGCCTGATATTATTCATTCATCTCTCACTGTTATATTTTTTGGTGACTTATTTTACAAATGCCGTCAACCATGCAGATGACTCGCAATGTCCTGCCGTCCTCTTCTAATCGATCGAGGAAGTACGCTGGGTAATTGCTAAATTGTTAATCAAATTAGGATTGTCGACTTGTCTTTTCCTGACGGGTCCGTCTATTCAGCGCTGCGACCAAAGAGCTTTTAAAATACCGCCTTGAGATCACTGAATAACGGTGAGTACACCCGCTGATACTCCAGTGACTGGTGCAGACTGACGAGAAGGTCCAGGGAAGGTTCTTTGCCTCGTTTTTTCCTTTTATTTCCCTCCCGTAGGGAAGCCTCAGACAGTTCTAGGTTTCTGACAAGGTTTGTGTTGGAATAATGATGAAAAGCCTTTCTGCGGCCCGAGCGCTGTCCCCACCACATGAACGGCCGCCCTGTCTGCCCTCCAGATTGACAGGGAAGGTCAGAGCATGCGTCGATGCGTTCGGCAAGGAACATTTAGTCTTGTCACACTTATTTCCATCATATTAGGTCGTCTTCCTTCGTTTCCTAAGTGCTTATTGGAAAGTTATCCTCGAATAGCATCTTGTTTCATCAACAATTAATGGCCTAGATTGCATTGTGGACTGAAAATTGCTTTTTTAAATGCGACTTTGGTTCGTCATACGGATCCTACAGCCCAGTAGCACCTACCCAGAACGATTTTGGAAAAAATAAATCCACTTTTTCCTTAAAAGGAGTAACATCACTGCAGTCATCAGTGTAGATTTAGGAGGTATAACGAGGACATCAATTGTAAGAGATTCACATACAGTTAATGGTAATCAACTAAATTAATGAAGGGCCGCCTTATGTCCAAATTACATTTTTATACAGTTTCTGTACTAATGTTTCTGTCACAGATGTCTTAAATTAGCATTAAAAATACTTTTTTTGCCACATTAGCAGGATGTTAATCAGTTAGTTTGTTCGGTCCACAGTTGGTTCCAGACTGGTTTATTTTTCCACAATTATTGGGATAAAAAACTTCACGTCATAACTTTCATGGTCCCCAGATAATAAATCCTAATAATTTTGGTGACTTTCCGCTTGTCCTGAGACAAACTTTTATTCCATGAGTTTACTCTTATTGTCAAAATCGAATCAATATGATTTTAAATGCATCCAACACTTTGTTTTGTGACTGAATGTCGTTCCTGTCACCCTCAACATTAACACGCTCATATTAGCATTAAGCTCAAAGTACAGTGTAGCGCTGCAAAAAATATATATATATATATCATCCCAGAATATGGATTTGATTAAAGGCTACTCTCATGCTTGCTTGCAACATTTAAAAACATGTTTTTAATGTTAGGCCACTAAGTAACTTTGAAATTAATCAACTCACCCCACATAGGGTGGAAAACACTGAAGTGTCTGAACTAAAACTGTCAGCGCAAGAAGAAAAGACGTGTGGGACGACTGTGCCTTCGGAGAGAGGAGCTGCCCAGAGGCCCAACGGGAGCCTCTTCTGAAGCCCAGTACAACATTGACATTTCCCACTGTGGGGAGGATGCGCGCACCCTCGGGCGACGTCTCCCGACACTCTGCAAGAACAGCTTTGTTTGCAAGAGGGGGCGACCGAGGAGCCGCCCGTTGCCGTGGTCCAGGGCCGTGCATCCATCACCGTCGCCATTGCAGCATACCGGAGAGCGCTGCTTTTAACTCGAGGGAGGCCAACCACTCAAAACGGCGTCGACGGCGTCGGTAGGGGCAGCAAAAGCTGGGTGGTTCGGCCGCACGGAATCGTGGGCTTTTTTCCGTGGGAGTGTTTGACATACATGAGTTATTGTCGTCATTACCTACAGACGAGGCCGGCGTCTCGGGTTGTTGTCGGAACGTTGGCGGATGGAGCAGAGACCTCAATGGCGTGCGTGGAGCTCAAGCTGCGGTTCGCTTCGCTTTGCAGGAAAGACTTGCAGCAAAGAGGCATTTCAACGAGGCGTCGCAGCAAAGCTTCCTGCGGTGGCTTTAACTACTGGGAAGTGAGGTAAATTCAGAATGACAATCTTCCTGTAGTTTTAGGGTTGAGTGGCATTTAGTTTATACTTATATATATACTAACATTTAGGTTCATATTGATTCACAGCACCGTACATCCACACAACACTGCCACTAAAAACGTCATGGAATATTATGTAAAGAAAGTAAACAATTCATTCGAAATTAAAATTAAAAAAAGTCGAAATTACTTAAAATTACTTTTTATCACATAAAAAAAAAAAATACTAGGACTACTAGGATTTTTAAATGTCCCGAAAAGAGATATTATATAGTGTGCAAAAAATAATAATGCAATGACCATGGAATGGAGATGCAGAAAAAAAAATACATGAAACATATTAACATACATGTTGCGGCCATCTTTGCGTGAAACATATTTAAACATTAAACATAAATACATTTTAAAATATTAAAAATTGTGTTTTAACTTTGCATCAAGATGTGGACACAGAATCCAACGGCGTCCTGCGCTCTGTCCTGCTGTCCATCCTGCAGCAGAACATGAACTCCTGAGGAAATGCAATAAAAAGGGGAACAGCAGTATCTGCCCGAGCCGGCCAGGCGTCGTCGGTCCAGAAGGTGATGATTTGGTACAGTCCGGACTCGTTCCTATCCAGAGATATCACAGGTGGGCGCATCACAGGTACCATTGACCCCACATCAAGAACTCTAAAAGTCTCGTATAACCGTAGGTGTATTATCTGGGTGCGAGCAGGTGTTCTTGTGTGCACAGTCTCCCTCATCTGCCACCTGTGTGTGGGTTTGTTTCCACACCCGCGCCCACGAGGGAGAAACCCTGTTTCCACTGCAAATGAATATCAATTAGATAAAGTCATCGTTTTTTGTCACTCGGCAATTTGTTTGGATGCGGCTTTCTATCTGGATGTATTTTTCCCAGTGGCAGATGTGTGGTGGTGGGTGGCAGCTGCAAAATGGAGGAGCGCAGCTTGCTAAGTGATTCACCCTGCTCCCGGCGTCTCCGTTACCCATTGAGCCTTTTCACTGACAATGTTTTCATTGCTATTTGCTTTATGTGTAACTAAGCTGGATGCTCCGACGGCTCCCTGTCAGAAACGAATGAGAATGCTGTTTTTTCTTCTTAGGGGAGGCGAACCAATGGGACGTTTGTGGGCTATTTCATTTCCATGACATCTTCCGCACTCGTCCTGTGAAATACGAGGTCGCGGCTGAACACGACGCTGCATCGTGTTCTTGAGAGAGACATCTTCGGATGCTGCTCGGTCTGATAGAAATCCCCAGACCGATAACGCAAATGAGCTCTAATGACATCTGCTGCGTTCTTTTTATGCACACACCGGAAATAACAGCGTTAAACCAGTCACGTCTCCTGACGGGGGAGTCACTGTGTTGTTCGCTGCTGTCAAAAAGCACTCTCTTTTCTCACCCTGATCCCCCATTATGTTCTCTCTCTCCCCCCCCCCCCCTCTCTCTCTCTCTGCCTTTGACTCATTCACACTGTTGATTCCCCCTCTGGAGGAATACATCAGGCATAACGCCCTTTTCTTTTCATCAAGGCAGCAGCTTTGGAGTAATTTTCCTCTTCTCACGGGGAGCCAAATGGAGACGAGGAGATGTCGATTCTCTCATTTCTTTGTCCGTCCCCTTTGATCTCTTGCAACGGGAATTCCCAATGCAAAAAAAAAAAAAGAGAGTAAATGGGATTTTACTCTGCGGTGTGGTTGATCATACAAAAATGACCACAAATGACTTCTAAAGACCCCTGTGTGTTGCTACAGAAAAAAGTGCACCTCAAAACATGTTCCTGGCCATCATTACTCATAGTGAATTTTAATAAAGGATGAATAATTCATGGTGCACAGCCCAGTGATACTGATGACGTGCATCTTTATGGACGCAGGGCAACGTGTGCGTGTTTTTGGAGGACAAGAAGGGTTTTGTGAGAAAGTACAAAAGGTTTTTTTTTCGGGATGCCCGCGTGCCAGTGTGTGTTTCTCTCTGTCGTGTTAACAGACAGCCGTTGTGATTTATGTGGTATTCCCAGTGCAGCCCCCGCCCCCCTCTCTCTATCTCACTGGAAAGGTTAAAGCATACAGCCTGGAGGCGGTACCACAAAGGTCAACATGCAGTTTAGGAATGAGGAATAGGACGATAGAGAGGCACAGAAAAGAAATGCACTCTCCTGCTCTCTTCCGACCGAGCGTTGCCGCCGATATCACGTAAGCGCAGGGGGCACCGTTCGCAGCCAAGGCCGAGCGATATTACCCACAGGGCTCTCCATCTTCTCCCCCTCGTCTCCCTGTCAACACCTCCCCGTGCCACCTTCACCATCACATGCGATTAAAAACAGCCGACCTTGAAAGGGAGCATCCCCAGAGATTGCATATGAGAAAGTGAAGCTGTATACAGAAGGAAACTGTAGACCAAGGGTGTGTATTTAATCCCCCCCCCCCCACCCTCCTCACACTCCCTCAAGATGTGCTTAGTGGAACAAGCTAGCTGGTTATAAGAAGCCATTTAAGAGAAAGGCCCGTGAAGAAACACCAGCTTCTTTGGTGAGTCAGATGTGTTGAAGTGACTAATCTGCACGAGCTGCATCCTTCACAGGCCTGAGGGGGAGCGAGGACACGGTGGCTCCAGGTCTCCCCCCGGTGGTGAGGGAGGGAACTGCATTTAAACTCGCCGTCGTCGTCCCTCAGCTTCGGGGACGGGTGCTGTGATTGATGTGTTTAACGGTTCCTGTTATTGAACTGGCTTTCTTTTAAAAAGCTCGAGGGGAAAAACGAGCAGCGGAACGCTTGAGTTAAGGGGATTTTTGCGGGTTATCAACAATGTGGCTTATTAATTCAATAATGTCAGTAAAACAGCCAAATTAGTTATTCAATTTGCCTTTCCTGCGGTTTGTTTTTGTGTAGACAAAGCATAAAGGAAGCCACCACGGGAGTGAAAAGGTTAATAACAATATTAATACCAAAGAATAAGTGCAAGATTTCAGGCAGTAGAAAAATATGCTCACTTTATGCAGGTAAATCAATTACTTAACTGTGCTCAAGTAGCACAAGTAACAAACTTGTTCGTCTGTGGTAACATAATTACTTCTTGTTGCATAAATACCATTACAAACTCCCAAAGCCAAACGTGTAGAAAGATGAAGCTCGTATGAACTTTAATGCCAGTAGAAGAGGTTTATTTTCCAATCAAGTAAAACATTTAAGACATTTTAAAATCCAATCCAAGATTCACAGAAATAAAAAAAAAAGGCAGTACGCTTATGTACAATGAGTGATATGCACACAGAACATTTCACCCCCCAATCAAAAGCGATCAGTGCTTGACTCCCTCCGGCTGCAACGCAGAGAGCAGAAACATAAACAAACACGAAGGTGTGAGGTCATTCCTCCGCACAAGCTGCACTCTGAACTGCCCTTTGTAGCCTGATGTGTCAGCACGATGTCATGTACGTGCACACAACTTGAACCTGACACGACACAGTCCAGTAAAAAAAAAAACTTCCCATAGAATGCATCGTTTCTACCGTGGAGGCAGAGCAAAGGCCGTGCACCTAAATAACCACATGAGGGAGCAGTGAGCGGCTGCTGATACAACGTGGAGGATTATTTAGTTGTTCTCTGTCATAAAAAAAAAAGACCTGAATATGATTTTCTTATAATTCTTTTGGGGTTTTGGGTTGTTTTTTTGACCCGGAATGTTCCCTTAAAAGCTAAAAAACCCAGTAGGTTTGACATTCTCAAAGTTCAGAGTGTTTATATGCTCCTGTCAGGAGTGAGAAACAGACAATAAAACCCTTTAAAAAGCTTGTGAGATGTTGCCTCTGCGGTCAGACGGGCTGAGGCTGAAGCTGGCCGTGTATTTCAAAAAGGACCAAAGTAAGACTGATATAAATCTTTCTGATAGAAAGTAGGAGCATTTCCTCCCTGTTCGGTATTAAAGGAGCCGTGTGAAGGAGGTTACGGTTCCTTTACAAGCAGGTCACAGAACCACCGACTCCTTCAGGGGAAATACATCTCCAAAGCCACGTCTGTGCACGCCAAAGCCCACTGCCACGCCATTTAGTACGCAGGGAAAGCTTTAGTTCGGAGAATTGGTACATCCACTCTGGGATACGAACATGGCGGACTCGCTCCAAATGTAGATATAAACCGCTTATTCTAAACTAATGAACGCAACGGTTCTTAAGTTTCGGGTTCATTTACACGATTGAAAACGCTGAAATGGTTTTGAAGACAGTATTTAATTGCCGAAAATAAATCCCAGTAAATCCCGACACAGTGATCCCCCATATTTAAAACAAAGAGATAATTGTAGAGCAACGATATCAGGCAAAATCTACTGGCTCACTTTATTTGTTAACAAAAGGACGGTGTTTCTTGGAAAAATGATTATTGTCGTCGTCATTTAAGCCCAAAAAGGAGGTCAAGCGTAAGTCAAGGGGTCACAGCCAGCTCGCATATGTCGAACTCCTGCAGGACAGCGACGACCGACAGGGATTCAGTCCCCAAAAACCACGTGACCAAACTACCTGAATTGTCCAATAATGAAATAAAAATATCAAAACAGTTGTTGATGAATCTTAATATTCATCTTTCTTCAGTAACACAACAAAGGGCAGAACTGCATTATTGTGAAGCGGCTACGATGAAGCCATTTGAATTGAGTAGAAAAGATGTGACCACACTGAGATACGACTGGAATGTCCACGTTTAGTCTCTTTTTAGAGTAAAACCCTTCTGAGGATCACATGGATCAGACGCTCTTCAATCACTCAAAAATGAAGAGCAATTGGAAAATGTTTATCTGATTTTTAGGCAAAACTTTACAATAACCATTTCAGTTGAGGATATTCTCCCTTATGAGAAGGTGTCTTGGCTTTGAAATGAACAGGACAATTAAGAGCTCAATCAGTAGTTACATTGATTGGAAGAAATATATATAGAGCTACTAACAATAATGATATCACTATATTTTACCGCGGCCGTGTATTTAGTTCATAACTGGCATAGAAGAAGCGTATGTAAGCCACTGCAACATGAACCGTAATACTGCAGCCGTGTGCTAAATTAATGTTTGATCTCACGAGATTTAGTTTTTAAAAAAGCACTTGAAATATTCAACTCCATAAACATTTTTTTTTTTTTTTTTAGAATGACGTCTATGTCCCCATTAGTACAAAATCTACTGATTTCATGTGGACTCCAATGACGCTCTAAACTACGAAAGTAGTTTGCAAAAAAAAAAGGGGGGGGTTCAGTTCCAAAACCGCACGACCTCTGATTATCTAAGGCTGTAAAAATGGCTGTCGAAGGCCACAAACAGGAAAGGTCACCCTGTGCGTCTGAGAGGAGCGCGCTCAGGAAAACAACGAAAAAACGGATTTGACTGTAAGACATATTTGGAGTGAGGAGCCATTTCAGGGCTGTTTAAGATGCGGTGTGACTCTTGTGCCACAGGTGGCAATATAATGACCAGACGACTGCACGGAGGAGGCGGCGTAAGGAGTTTGTGGAGGAACGGCTCATTATGAGGTAGGATTTTGCTGTAAACAAAAAACAAAAAAAGGCTTAGCAGTAAAATAAAATTAAAAGTACGGGAAGGAAGAACGGTGAGTTTGTGGCGACACGAGGGAACTTCTCACACAACACGTCAGTACAATAGAGACACCCGCCATCAAAAATATACAAAACAAAGAGAAATGAACAGCTATGTATAACACCAGAGGTAGTTGCTAATATCAGTACATGAATACGTCTCTTCACCGTTGAGTTTGTGGAGTCGGTCAGTGGATGATTCCCAAAAGAATAAAATACACTTTTTTGGTAAATTCCCTGAGAACAGTTTATCATCCTGAGAGGAATTGTGTGTAAAAATGTACAAATACACCGTAGAAAAAGATGTTTCCGTAGGTATTTGAGCTGTGCTTTTTGTGTAGTTTGGTCATTCACTGTTTGCTTTTTACTGTAATGTTTTCCGCTGCATTGCTGGAATTCAATTTTTCTTTTCTTAACGCATGCAAACATTCAAAAAGCTGTACATCAACCCCCCCAAAAAAAGAAACGCAGTGTAGCGCTTTCAGCAATACCTCTTATTCCGACAGCAAGCACTTCTTAACTTCAAAAACCTTCAGAAAATAAAGCCAAACTATTCGGTATAGAAATACACCGAAAAACGTTGGTTGTCTACTTTGAGCTTTTTAAAAAAAACACACAAGATAGTTTGATTTCATCATACAAAGTTACGTGATTTGTCAGAACATTAAGATATAACTCTGAAGCGACCCGGCGTGAGCTTTGCCTGCGGTCGGCTTCAGATGAGCTTTTCACATTCAATACGGTCAGAGAAGAGTTATTAGGTCACAAATAAGTGCCACCAAAGCCATGCTTGTGATTCAAGTTATTCTAAAAAGCATCTCTCCCTCTCTCTGTTTCCTCAGTGAGTCTGAAACAGCAGCGGGGGGGGGGGGGGGGGGTTAGGGGGGGCTGAGCGTTGCCTGGCTGGTGCTGACTAACATCTGGTAGGCACGGGTGGGGGGGAAGGAACGGGCGCTTGCATCCGACTGCATCACAGCCGGGGGGGGGGCGGGCGGCTCAGCCTTCCCGTGACATTCGTTTGCAAGAGTAAAGTATTTTTCGTGAGGCGTTGAGTGAGGAAGAGGGCAGCTGTGACGACAGCGTGGTGGTCTGCACCGCATCGCCAGACAAGGTGTGCCGGGCCACACGTGGTACCCGACTATTTAAAGAAAGCGTGGAGTAAGAGGGTTTTTTTCTTCTTTTTTAAAAGGTCAATTTGATTCGTGGTAGATGAAAACAGTTAAATAGAGAGAGCGCTACGAGTTTCCACGCAATGCAATATACAAGGCTATGTCAGAACTAATTCTTTATATATCAGGGGTATACATATATTAATTAATTATACTATGATTTATAAGCTCTAATGTTAATTTCGTTTAATTAGGCAAGAACCAAAGTGGAAATTCTAATGATGAACTTTGATCTAGCGGGATTATACAACGTGTTAGCAAAGCTGATCTATGTCTAATTATAGGAAACCCAAACGGTAACAGCGTTGAGTCACAACTAGAGAAGAGGCCGGTACGACAATCGGGACGCACAACGCGGGCACGCAAACACACACCTTCCGGTTTTCTCTCCGCGTCTCGCACGCGCGTGCACAAATACACATGCTCCCGCCGCGACAATCAGCTGGTCCGGTCTGCGTTGTGTAAGAGGTTTGTGGCGAATGTGCAGCAGCTCACTCGTCTTTTAAAACAATTCCCTCTGGAATTCATGAAGTTTCCCTCATGATCTTCATACGCCCGAGCAGACAATCCTGTGAGTCTGCACTACGGCCGAGAGTGTCTCCAGCTCTTTGCAGTCTTCTCCTAATCCTTTTTTTAAGGACGAGCTACCGTGTGTGCCACTCAGAATGATTGGACCCACAGGCTTTAAAAAAATGAAATAAAATAAAAGTGGATCCAAGAAAAGAAAACAAAAAAAGGGGGAGAAGAGGATTTGTACCTCGTTGTTTCCCTCTTGAGCTGCACTGATTGAAAGAAGGAAAAACAGTCCGTCCCCGCGGTCACCATTCCAGCAGCGGTTGCCATGGACGCACCAGCTGACTGCAGGTGGGTCACACGCGGTCACGTCCCCCCCGATGATCGCTGCCCGAGCTGCACTGTCAGGAAAGCAAAGGTGAAGAAATCGAGAGGTCCCGTTGTTGTTTTTTGCAGGTGTGAGGTAGATGAAGTGTGAGGGGGGGTTCAGGTATCCTTGATTGAGGGGAGACACGACGGTCGGGGGGAGGAAGGGGTAGCGGTGAAAGGTTTCACCTCCACCGGCCCGTATTCACGATTTCCTCCACCTCTGGGTGCGGGGGCCGCGGTGCGTGTGAGGCTCCTCGGGGGAGGAGGAGGAGCCCTCGAGGGGAGACGAGCCGGAGCGCTGCTCCTCCCCCTCCTCCTCCGGCGGGCCGAGGAGAGGCCCCCCCCCGGGGCTCAAGGCCGAGGTAGACACATGTTGGTCCTGAGAGCCCGTGGCGGGCGCCGGCGCCTTGTGGGGGCACTGAGCCACCATGTGCGTGATGCTCTGGCAGTAGTGGCATTTCTTTGGCTGGGGGGGCAGACCACACTCCTTGGCGTGGTGGTCCAGACCTCCACAGTTATAACAGCTGCAGGGGGGAGGGGGGGGGAGGACAAGAAAGAAAAAAAAATGATCCCATTATTCGTCTATTGGGAAAACCTCAACAGTGTGGAGCGAATTAGCTGCTCCAACTAGGAATGAGCACTAGGTGGCAGCGTGCAACACGATATCACCTCGGATCAACACAAACTGCAATGTTATTCAATTTGACAAGAAGCAATTGGGTGCTGAATGAGTAGGGCTTGGTGTGTGTGTTGGGGGTGGGGGGTTTGCAATGTTTTGTACTTCTCTGGAAACTACAACAGCAGACATATTTGCTGTGTCGCTTCCTTCTTTCATAGCGGTGAAACGCATTGCTGCTGATCTTAGTTCAAGGATGTTGTCAAACTAAATCATGTGATCATTAAATAATGGCCATCAAGGTTTTAATTGTTCTGATTAATCATTTGACAATAAAACAGCATGTCTGCAAAAAGCTTACAGGAGGTTTGAAGTGTTTTTCAGACATTCATCTGTGGATTTCTTATTTCCTGCATTATTGTGATGCCTCTTAATAGTAGTTAAATCTGGGGAATATATTTTAAACAAATCAGGTTTAAAGAATTTCACAACTTGCATTCATAGAGACACAAGTAGTAATATGTATATAAAGTGAACTTATAAGTTTATTGTTCCTAATTCATTAATCAAAATACTGCATATGCAGAGAGAGGAAACCACCTCTGATACAACCTTAACAAACAAGATGGGTGAAAGAAATTGGAAGAAAAGTAGTTTAAGTAGTTTAAGTTGTGCGTTTAATCTTTTTTTACATTGCATTTTGTGTTGATTATTTCAATAAAATAAAATAATAAAAGCTGAATATAATCCAATCCGATTCTTACATCGAACAGCTAAAGAGAACCACAGAGCACCGGTGTAAGTAAAGAAGGGACTAAACAGCAGCCGGAGCCTCGTAGCTTCCACAGGAGCCGCTTTCACTGAGCGCGCTCACAAAGACCCCGATGATGTCACAGAAACCTGCCTCCCATCTCTGAATCCAACACGGTCTTTCCACCACCTTAGTAGGAGGCAGAGACACTGGCTCAATAATCCCAAATATACTGAATATTTCAACCACATCAAACAATCAGGGAGCCTTTAATCCCTTATTGAGTTTCCTCCTTTCTAACAAAAGCTTTTCTTTTCACACAATGGAAGACGTGACATCACGCGGTTGTTCCAATGAGGCAGCTGTGCTGCAGCGTCACACGGAAGCGGCAGAGCTGGACTCCATAATGCCATTCCATAATGCATCCTATAAGATGGATCCATGTTGGCAGCAGGACAAACAAAACCTCCTGCTTGGACCACCGGGTGTTTTCAAAGACAGACTCGAGCAAAGCAACACTTTGGGAATTGACTGTGAAAAAGCATTGATAGAGCTCCTGCCGCGTTGAGACGCATGTAAAGCCGATCCATCGCTGTGCTCACGCCGTCTCCAATGTACAAGCTGGCAAATTGATTTTAAATCGTGGCATAGGCAGGCAAAGTGCACCACTGTGCAGGATAACCATAGCAACAGACATGTACTCGGGCGGATTGAGTAGATTTAATCTATAATCTCAGCCCACTCAGCAACAGCTCGCTGCAGTAAGATGTACAGACAACATATGTCTCCTTCTGCAACAGAAAGTCCTACTTTTTTTTTTTTTAAAGGCCAGCTGCCAACGCTCACATATTTTCAGCCTTTAAAGCAGAGACTGGTGCACATGAATCATTACATTCCTGCAAACACAGGCCACTTTTCCAATTTATTTTCCTAATTACACCACACTCACCGGTCTCCCTTTGGTTTGCGTTTCTGCAGCGGGACCTTCCCTTTGGGTCTCCTCTCGCTGCCTGCGCACGACCCCCCACCGGGTCCGGTCACCCGCAGGGACTCCAGGCCCTTGGAGGATTTCTTATAGGTGAACTCCACCTGCTCACCCTCCTTTAAGCTGCGGAAGCCCTCCATCACCAGTTTGCTCTGTGGGGAGTTAAAAAAAGCAATTATCCATTTAGAAACTGGCAGGCACTTAAAGCTCAATTAAAGCTGAATTATTTGAAGGAAATGAAAAGGAAAGATAATGCCAGCTATACACAAAGGTCTGCATATTGCTATATAGATATATATATATATATATATATATATATCCTTGAATAATGAAGGTTGTTCGCACTGCTGCACACAGTAGCACACGCTGTGCACACAAAGACATGGACTGTATGTGGTTACTTCAACTGCTACGACCGTCTTTGCAAAGAGACACTCGTCTCACACACGGCGCCCTCGCTTCACCCCCTTTATCTACTTTTCACAGAGGCACCACTTCCTTTTCCTTCTGCAGACGGAGAAAAGACGACTGCGTCACACCCATGCGATCATTTTCCCCCGGGGGGGGGATCTCTCGTGCGTCTGCAGGCAGCGCGGATTTGGTTACGGCGACGCCACCGGACACCGATTCAAATCTCGTCGGACGCACAGAGCAGATGATGATGACGGGCACTCGATGTGACCTTTGTGAATGGGAGGTTAGCGCACACCCACACGGTGTGCAGAGCAGACCTGCCGGCTGCTATACATGCTGGCCTATAAATAACACGCAGGCTTTCTTTCTATTCAAGGATGTGTAGGAGAAAGAGGGAGGAGAGAAGATATGCTCAGCAGAGTTGGTTGCTGTATGGACGACTGCAGCGACATGAAGGTAAAGGTGCTGCAGGTGGTCCATTAGATGACAAGTGTGAATACGTGAGAGTGAAAGGTGGCGAAGGTAAAGTACAGCAGAAAATCTCAATGACCATCATTTGTTTATTTTAAACGCTTCGCAAAATGTGCCAGTGTGAAAAAGGGACGAGACTTTCACGTCACGCACAAAAAGATTCTCCTCATGATACGGATCCAATCTTACATTTTAATACCTGCAAATCCATCTTTTTTTCACGTTTTTCTTTGTTGACACTAGATCAACAAACTTTAAAATTAGAAAGAGAATAGATGAATACAATTTAATACAATGTATTCTCACTGCTATGTGAAAAAAGACTTCCCCAATAAAAATGTTCATTATAGGCCGTGCAATATAAAGTATACACAAATAGGATTTCTTTTTGAATCCATCTTCCTGTGATGCACCCGATCTAATTCAGATAAAGGAAAGTGCATATTATTGATTATTTTTCTCACATTTAATATTAATCTTAAGTAAAAAAGGAGCAGCTAAATATTGTGTCAAACGCTCCACACAATACCAGAGTAAATTGAAACGCATGAAGCAAGAAGGAGAGAATAATAATAAGTGGTTAAAATAAGACAAATGTACTTTGCTTTATACTTTAATATTAAACTTCAAAGAAAATTGTCCTTATTTACACACTTTTTTACTTCCACCATTTCTGAGAAAGGAGGGAAGCTGTTTCTCTCTCAGATGTCCTGATTCTCTTCTCGCAGACTGATCCGTTTTTGGGATCCAGGTATTGGATTCAGATCTGCGTAAAAGCGGATCAGGGAATGGAACGAGTTTACAGACCAAATGTAAGACGTGCAGAAAACAGAAGGTGATGATGAGGGTCAAAAACGTACAATTATACGTAAAAAAAAAAAATCTGGCTTTCTATTCCCCCCCCCCAAAAAAAACTAAATAAGTAACCTCAAGCAGTCAGAAGAAAGAAAAATGATTGATGACTTCCATCATTAGACAATCCAAACGACTGAAAGGCACTCCTGCAGCAGAAATCAATACAAGCAAATAAAAACGTGCCCCCCCCCACAGAACCAACAGATTCTGAATAATGATGATTAATCATTGACTCGTCTCCAGACCGAGTGGCGCAGGAGCTCCTTCCTTTTCCTCTCCTGTCTTCAGTCCACAGGCAGCTCGTCTCTTCAGGTCAAAGTTGAGTGGGTTGTCTCAGCATCCCCCCCCCACCCCCTTCTTCAACCCGGTCAATGCACCAGTGAGGAAACCACACAACCCCTTTTGTTCTGCAGAAATGCCGGGAAACGCGCACACACACGCACACACACACACGTGTCCTCCATACAAGGCGCGTCATCACGCTCATGGCTCAGATTTTATTTTTGACACGCGACTTTGCAGCATCTCGATCTCCTGCGCGAGGAGCGCAGCATGAGGATGCGTGCACATTGTGCACATCGTGCCTCCACGCTGGCGTGTTCGCGAGTCCGTGTGAAGATGTAGGAGGAGACGTCACGAATCAGAACCCGTAACCGGAGTCTCCCTCCTCTCGAGTGACCTGGCGGGTGTCCTGACCCGTTTCAGTTTACGCAGGTCGGGAAAGGGCACGGCCGGGGGAGGGAACGAGAGAACGTTAGAGAGAAGACTGGGGGGGGGGGGGACACAAAATGGAGGAGTGGCCTCGAGCGGGGGTGGTTGAGGAGAAGGGGGCGCTCATGGAAATGCCTCCAGCGCATTCTGTTCAGCTCCAATGGAGGAGCAACTCCTGATCAGTGTGGCTGGACCTGGGGAGGGGGGCCGGGGAACAAAACCCTCATTTGATCAGGAGCCCCACAGGTCAGCAGCAGAAAACCAGGGGCCGAGGGGGGGGGGTCATTGGTATAACCATCTTGGCACCACCCGCTGCTTGACCGGCAGACCGCACCCGGCTGGCAGATTTCTATCTCAAAGCCGCCGGCAAACAGTCTAAAAAACGGACGGAACCGAGTCAACAAAATGGATACCGACACTCTCCGAAAAGGGCCTGATGGTGCTTACAGGCTTCCTCGTATGTAATAAATATCTTCCTATGGATCTGTGTGTGTGTGTGTGTGTGTGTGTAGGAAGGAGCCCGCGATCAATACGGACTCCAACATCCTGGATAGAAATAACCCTCCTTTTCATCAGACAGGCCCTCGTCATCCGCAGACCCAGCAATCAATACAGGAAGCTGTAATGCGAGGGGACGGGGAAGCGCTCGATGACTCCCCTCCCCTCCTCAGCATCCGCCCCCCCCCTTCCCGCGGCGACCACCGGCCCGGCCAGGACACTTTAAATCCCAGGCGGCCCGCGCAGGGATGCCGCCGGTGTGAGGGAGGATGGAGGGCGAGCGCGAGGGAGGCATGGCTGTCACCATGTGGCGTGGTGCCATTGAGTAGCTTGTTCTTTCTTTTCTTTTTTAACACACACAGGAAATGCTAAGTGGACAAAGCTGGGCCAGATCAGCGCAGATGGACGTAACCCGACAGGACGCATATAAACCAAAGAATAAAGAGGGGACAGAAGAAGAAAAAAAAAGCAGGAGTGAGAAAGCAGGACGAAGGCGGAGGGGGAGAAAAAAAAAGCCTGCGCTCAAATGGATGGAAACCACCAACAGAGCGGCGCTTGTGCCGCTGACACCGCAGCACTCCCCGACACGTTGTCATTAGTGGCCCTGACCCTTGAACCCTGCCCAACCCCCCATCAAACACTTAAGAGCCTCCACGTTTCCCCTGCCTCAAATTAACAACATCCAACACCCTTGATTATGACCGGGGCCAATATTTGATCCGCGGGAGGAAGCACAGGATCGTCTTGCTGCTTTTATCAGCGCGAGAGGGGAAATGAACCATCGCCGAGGTGACGGGTGATAAAACACACGGCCGGCTAATAACCCGAGTCATTCGGAGCAGAAGATCACTAACAAAGCTGCGTTCTTTCAGACATCCAATATTAAATATTTCAGGAAGTAAAATACACTCAAAGGAATTCATGAATGTATAAAAAAAAATGTATGGATAAAAACTGGTTGAGAAATTAAAAAAAAAAAGTTGAAAATGTTGCGCACTAAACCTTCACCAAAGTGTACAGCATTAACATGCAGTTTAAAGTTGAAAGAAAAACAGTGTATTTGTCTTACTTTAAGTTGTAATGGAGAAATAAACATTGAACATTGTTTCAAATGAAAGCATTATTTTAATGATTTTGCAGCCGAGTTCATTTGCTGAAGACAAAAACAAGCAGCGGCTTTTTCTTCGGTATATTTAGGAATTGAATTCAATCTACATGCATGAGCTTTGTGCATGTTGGATATAATTGCTTATGACATTGATATTAAAGGGTTGATCAAAGTAGTTCTATCCATTACAAAGTGTAGCGTCCTCATTACACAGCACCTTCTAATCATCAGAGTTACAATTACTTCATCTTTGACAGAATTTGTCCATAGGTGATCTCAATTTTAAAACACTGTTTGGACCAAATTAAATCATTCAAAAAACTAAATGTTCTTTTATAATGTTGATTGCTCCTGATCTTTTAGAGATTGTTTAAATGAATAACAATTTAATTTATTGATTCACAGAAAACCATTTTCATAAACAATTGTTTTTGCCATTTTTCAAGCAAACATTCAAAATGTTATCCAGTCCACGTCTCTTAAATATGAGCATTTGATGCTTTACTTTGTCAAATAAAATATTAAACTCAATATCTCTGCCTTTGGTCAGTTTTAACAAGTAATTGAAATAGTTTAATTTAAACTAATTACTACTAAACTAATTGCAACTATATTACTTTGTCTGAGAATTGATTCAGCTGAAGAAAATGAAGCATAAGATCAAAGTGCAGAAAGATTGAAAATTGCCACCTTTTCCAATTATCAATCATCTCCGCTGTCCGCGGTCACATGACCAGCCTTCCTTCTTCCGATACGTTTTTTTGATGTGCAGAGGAGACGGGTGAGTAGGTGGAGGACAGGGTGGGGATGGGTGGAGGAGGGCTGCAGGAGAGACAAAGCCTGATACCGGCTATCTGGAGGCAGAGATGGGTGGGGCCTTGCATGCCAAACGGTGACACGGACCAGAGGTTAATCTCACTGGGGGCCCACTTTAACCTCGCTACACAAAACACACACACACACACAATATCACCCATGCGCATGCAAACACACACTCAAAACCTGAAACTTACAACGGTTCCCATGTACATCAACAGAGCAGAAAGTAAGAACCACACACACACACACAAACACTCCATAAATTGAACACACACTCTGGAGCTTTTGGGGCGAATAACAGAAGCAGCAAACTGTTCAACATTTCAAACTGATTACCGACAAAGGGGAAGCAGGCCCCCACCTCTCCGCCACCCCCCCTCCACCCAACCCTCCTGCCTTTTTGTCTTTAAAGAAATTCCTCTTTTTAAAAAGAATGCCAGAGGAGAGAGCAACCCCCGAGTCCCAGCAGGAACTCACACACACACACACACACACACATACAGAGAGAGAGAGAGAGTCCAGGTAGAGAAGGGGTTGACAAACAGAGATAATGAAATGGCTTTGTGTGCGGATTCGCTAAGCAGGGGGGTAAAGTGGGTGAAGAAGCTTAATTACTCTCTCTCTCTCTCTCTCCCTCTCTCCCTCTCTCTCGCTCAGCCCCCGTCCGTGCAAAGAGGAAGTGATCAGATAGGAGTCCTGATGAAGAGGCCTCCCAGGAAGAGAACTCGTGGTCCCTCTCAGTGACTCACGTGCACGCTCTCACCCGCCCTCGCTTACCTTCCTGCTCTTTCACTAACTCGTTTTTCCATGTTTTCCTCCTCGACTACAACCCCCCCTCCCCACACTCCACCACTAACACTTTTTTTTTTTTTCCCCCACATCCCTCCCCTATGGGAAAACTCCTCCTCCATCCCCCCTCTTCGTCTGTGTCCTCACTCTCCCTCTTCGCCTCCCCACCTTTCTTGTCCTGCGTGCATGTTTGCGATCTTTCTGCTGTTTTGATAGTAAAAGACAGGTGACCTTCTACCATAAATACAGGCAGCAGTGCATGACCTTCAAGTCCCGACATGAACAGCTTTTATGAGAATCGTCTGCTCTTCATGCGCGTCACTTTTCAAATATGGGCATTTCAAATATTTGCATCGGAAATGCAGCAATATTATCTGTACTTATAAAGAAGCTAAGAACTCAAGACACTGTAGCAGCATTTGACATGGACGTTGTTTCCAAAACACCTGAAAACTGCATTGCATTGACAGCGGAGACGCACACAGGGAGGAACAGTCGGAGAAATCCACAGACTTTTGCTTTTACATGCAAACAGAGTGTTTTGCATACAGAAGGACAACGCACGTATGAATGCACATTGTCAGCTCTTTGTGTTGAATGACAGCTGCATCATTGTAACAATACGTTGCTGTAAATAATTGGGGAAAAACACGTAAATCAAGATGAACAGCCGATATTTCACTATATTCCCAGAGCGCACCTCCCTGTTTCTGATCCACTTTTTAGACCTGCAGGGAGATCTGGAGCCATGTGTATATCGAAGAATGCACATTCATATTCACCAATATGAAGTCAATCCTTTTCAAATATGCATTAAAACATTGGACCTGTGGAGTTTAAATTACATTATATCAGAAGGCTAAAACTAAAAACACCTAACTTTATAAAAATGACTAGAACATTTATATTTGTCAGATGACAAGTTAATCCCAATAAGATGTTCTTGAGCTAAAAAATAAATATTTTAAATTCCGGAGAAATATTAAACATGCATTAAAGACCTAATTTCATCACCGCAAACTCTCCCGATGATCCTCAGCAAAAAGGTTCAGAAAATATTTAGCAATCAGTGTCAAACCCAGAAGTGCACCCATTTTCAGACCGGATACAACTTATGTACAGTATGTATGATGATAAATAAACCCATCAGGAGCCATTATGAAACCATTGACATGTCTCAATACGCCTTGTTCGCCTTAGAATGATCAGTGGACCTTTCAGTGCAAACATCTGACCCCTAATATACTTCCTCCACCCACAAGTACAGCACAACATCCCCTGAGTCCATAAAAAAACACAACTCTACAGGGGGAGAAGGTCAGATGAAATGTGAAAATGCCTCTTCTCATCCTCTATCCTTCCTCCCTGAGAATTTTAAAGCCACTTTATTGGACCGCAAAAAAAAAAAAACCCGCTGATTAAACCGTGTGGGAATAGGAGCTGGGTGAAGAGAGGCCCTCCGTGTCCTGCAAGAATAAGTGGAAAACCAAGCCGGAGAAATGAGCTCCGTGCACAATAAATCAACAGCAACGCCACATGTGGTGGAAAACTGGACACGCGTAAAAAAAAGGCACGTTCAGAATGCGCCGGCGAAACAACATCAGGGGAGGCCAACGCCTCGCAGATCACAGTGCAGTTTGACTTTCTAGTTGTTGTTGTTTTTATACCTTCCTTTCCGACATGTTTACGGCCTCTCAAGCCTCTGCTCACCATTAGTCCCAAGTGTGAAACTAACCGTGTCACATAGCCCCACGACACGTCTTCCCTTCCCCTTCACAGGGGGGGGGGGTTCAAGCCGGTGGACAACGTGTGATTACACAGTAACACGTGTGGCAATGCAAGACATCCGGGTGATACAATGTAGCCCGCTGCCCCGGGGAGAAGTACACCGGGGGGGAGGGAGGGAGGGGGAGGGGGGGCACGGTGGGATTTGTATTGGAATGGCTGGGGAAGGAAATAAAAACTATTCACTAGTCACTCTCCGCGGATCCGGATGAGGCCAATGACCGTCACGTGACATCGCCGTGGGCACGTTTATCTGTGCAGGATTTATTCTCTTGTTTTTGTTTGTTTTTGTTTGTTTGTTTGTTGGCGTCAACTTACTTGGTGGACGAAAACATCCAGAGGGGGGTCGACGGGGCGACCCTCGCTGCTGGTCATTGAGATGAATCCAAAGCCCATCCGGACGTTGAACCACTTGCAGAAGCCCGATCCCGACAGGTTGTGAGGTCGAGTCCGGTCCTCGGGCTCGGTGCACTTGGCGGGTTCTTCTCCGCCACCTTTACGGGGCCCTCCTGAAACACGCGAGAGGCGAGAGTTAGCGCGAGGCTCGGGGAAAACACACACGCACACACACACACACAAATAGGGACATTACGTTGAATGCGAACTTTTTGCGTATTATAAAAAAAGTTTAAAAAGCGTGTGTGTGGGGGAGAGAGGGAGAGGGGGGGGGGGGCTCCGCCGGCTCTGTGAAGTTCACGGTCGGCAGTAATGTCCCGCACCGCTTGTACGTGTGCGGTAACGCGAACATCCCCGCAGAACAATAAATAAAAGTTGCCTGTCACTCCCCGGCGGACCCGCCCGACCGACCCGCCCGGCCGCGGACCCCGCGCCGCCGCGCACCGTCCTCTCGGCTGCGTGCGTGATTCCGACGGGCAGGTGTACCACACGCGCGGAGCGGCACAAAACGCGCTCATTCTTCATTCTCCGGGACCCGGAGAGATGGTTTTCGAACAAACTACCACGTTGCAGCCCCCCCACACACACACAGACACACACACACACACACACACACACACACACACACACACACACACACACACACACACACACACACATACATACACATACACACATACACACCGCACCCTCGCGCAAGCAGTAGGTGGGTGGGCGGGTTATAAGAGCAGAAAATAGAAAATAATTGCAGAATAACCTTCGGCCATGTTTCCCCGCGGACCCTCTGCGCCCAAGTTGCGATAGAGAAGCTTCCTCTGCGAAGACGGGCCGCGGCAGTCACCATTAATCCGATATCCTCGAGCCCGTCGCTCACCAATTTAGCTCGCATGGTACTGCGCGCTCTCTGCCTTTTGATATTTGTGTCATGTCTCTGTTTCTTCCCCCCTTCGCGATCCCTTCCTCACTCACCACCACCACCACCTCTGCTCAGCTCTCTCTCTCTCTCTCTCTCTCCCTCCCTCTCTCCCTCTCTCTCTCCCTCCCTCGCTCTCATTCGCTCTCGAGCTGGCTGTGCCCGTTCCCGTAGTGAGAGCACGTGACTTTGACAATTACACGCTTTTCCTGCTGCTGGTTTTTTTTTTCCTGCCCTGCGGTTCCAGGGAGGAGAGGGGGGAGAAAAGGGGGGAGAGCGGAGTTGCAGCCCTGTAGTAGTAGTAGTAGTAGTTCTGCCAGGGATAGAAAAGCCGCCCCGAGCGAACAAGAGCCTCGAACAAACAAGAGGGGGGGGGGGTGCGCGCGCGCGTGTGTGTTTGTGTGCGCGCGCCGTGTTCGGTCGGCGGTAACAGCTCGGGATGGGTAGCTACATAGCCTAAAGCTATTATGCTCGGAGATTAGATTAGCTGGGATTCAATTAAATTTGAATGAATCCTCTGGGTGTGATTGGGTGGTCAGAGCAGCGGGAGTGAATAAAACACGGGGGGGGGGGGGGGGTGAACAATATTGGAAAGAAAAGAACAAAAGCGAGTTTGTTATGATAAAAAATGATTTTTTCAATTACCATGCACGGATAGAACAATGTGTCAATTTGTGATTAATAAAACGGGATCTAGCATATTTCAGTTAAATAAACTCTAACTCCATAAGCGATGAAGAGGCGAACATACTAAAATAACATAATCACAATACAGAATGGACATGTGATGTTCATTTTCCATGCTTTCTATGCATGGACATGTTTTTGAGCTCATGTTCCTTCACAACCAGTTACCTCCCAGCATCATAGTGGGCACCAGAGGAGAGCTGAACTCACAGCTTTGGAATGTGACTGGAAAACCCAGAAAAACAAACCTGAAAACTGATGTGTTCAGTTGTCAGTAAGTCGACCCGGAGGCCGACGGCACACAGCAGAAGCTTCTGGATACTTTTAGTTATGCACAGAGGTGATGGAAATAGTGGCTATACGTGTTATGGAGAAAGGCACTGGCTTTTCTTTTGCAGGGCGAAAGAATAATGTTAAAAACAATAAAAGTTTGAAAAGGAAATTTTGCTTAGCTTTGAGAACGGAGACATTAACTTTTAGACATTAAAGAAGCAAAAAAAAAACGACTTAAGTTCTTTAAAGTTCAAACTTTTTATTTTAACATAAGACCTCTTACCCCTTTATAAACATATATATTAAGTATTTATTTAATCTATATAATTTTAACTATACAATTAATTTAAGAAAAAACTGTCAAAAGACTTTTTTAATTGGATAAAACCAAGAGTTTAAACCTCTATTCTTCTCTCACTGCTTATTCCAGTTACACTTTATGTCCACCAGCACGAGACAAACACTCTCCAGAGAGAAATGTTCAACCAAGTGCTGCGGTTAGTCAAGGCCACACAGCAGCTTGATAACAACAAGCCTGAAAAATACTACGTCCATTGAGAAACTCTCCTTCCTATCTCACACCTTCCCCTGGTGGGACGGTTGGGGTTATTCCCGGGTACGAGCAAAGAGGGGAAAAACACGTCGGAGGAATGAAACAACAACAGGCCCATCTCCACCCACCGCAGCCGATGAGCCCACCCTCTGGAATTCACAAGTTTTCTCCCTGCCCCCAATCCATCCATCCCAGCCCCCCAGTGCAAAGGCCTGTTTTTGAAGATGCTCGCAGAGGAGGCCTCTGCCGTGGCCACAGAATTACTGTCTGGGTCACAGGGTTGGAAACCAGCGTCAGATGTTACCCACTCACTCATATCCTGACAGGACCTTTCTGATTCGGACAAGTCTGTGGAAATCCCCGCAGTGCCGCTCGATGACTTGTGCAAAGCTAATGGCCATGAACGATTCAGGCATGGGTGGCTTTGGTGAGCCTGTTGGTCGGAGGAAGCAACTGAAACACCAAAAGAAAAAAAAATATTTAACTAATTTTAAATACCTTTACGTGACTGAGGACATTTACTTTTGTTGTTATATGTTTCAAACTGATGACGGATGGATGCGTTCAGAGTGTTTTAAGGGGAGACTTCTTGAAACTTTATTTACTGCTGTTTACTTTTGTTTTCAATTGAATCAACCAGTAGACATTGCTTTTTTTCCCCCTTCAGAATGCAAGATATCTGTGCACTACTGCACATTAACTTTATTTTAGAAAGTTAAAGTTAAACAAAAAAGTCCGGGATCAACATTGCTATGTTTTTCAAATTAATGCTGGATTAAAACAAAATCCTTTAAGAAAAATATGATGTGTTTTGAGCGAACACCACTTGTTTTGTGTATATTTGGGTTTAAACTGTCATGTGAGGTTTTGTGAGAAGTTAAGGACCTTAACATGATTTGGCTTTTTTTTCTTTTTCATTTAACTGAAAATACAAACATTACATCTGATAACCAACCAACCTAAACATGTCCCCCTATTTTAATTACTTGCCTTCACGCTGCAGGATGAGATTGTGCTCAAACATTGCTTTGTTTCATGGAGAAAAACGACGTTAAGTTAGGGAATTCAGTTCATTTATCGGCTCTATCTTATAATCTAAACGAAAAGTAATACTTTAGCTGCCATTTATTTACCTTTCATGCTACATATAGTTTTAAAACATGTTTGAGTTTGGATTAATCCTTTCCTGCAAAAAGTTAAGGAATTCCATGAAAATGGTCTGTTTTTACAATCCAGTTATCAAAATGTTATCAAGAAAGGGTTCACGAATAATAATCACCTGCGTAGTTGGTCAAGAAGAAGCAGTTTTGGCAGAGTTCACAAAAAATGTACCTTTCATGTTAAATTGAATGTAAAATAATTGAACAATATTATGTTAGCAAATCAATTTGCATTACTTTTTGTGTATCATAACAAAGAACTTCCAAGGTATTTGGTTAGAATTGCACGCCATTTAGTTTAGGCATCAAGACAGCATGCATTTAATGGTTTAGTTTTACAAAACAATCGAAGATATTTAAAGAATACATCACGTCTCAGGCCTATTTTCAATATCCTACTATTTCCACGGCAATGTGTTGCATTTCCACACAGACTAGAAAAGAGTCAGGAAGCCACCACCTAATGTGGTTTGCTCCAACTAAAGTTGACTAAAGGCCATATATCATGTTCAACTTTATTTTTTATGTGAAGTTACAAAAGATTGATTTTTTTTACCTTCGTTCAACTAACCAGAATTTCTTTCTTAAACAAAAAAAGCCAACTGAAATCAGTCGTGAAAGTTAGTTATTTTGTTCAAAACAGAAAATGATAAAGGATTCAATCTCATGACCAGGAGCAGATTCCTGAGCGGTTTGAAAACCAAATTTCTGAGCAGACTTTGGACTTCATCACCCCAGCTAACCCCACCCAACCCCCACTCCTCACCCTGAAGGCTCCCAGAGGAAATTTGCCTTTACTCTGCTGGCGTCAATGCAGTTCAAAGGGTTCATTGAGCTCCTTTCTCCCTTTTCTCCTTTCATTTTTAGTGAAGGGGTTATTTTTTTTGCCATTTACTTCATGCATTCCAGCCACCAATCCTTCACATTTTATATCCTTTGCAAGGAAGTGTAAACAGTGTTGGCAAAGCAGGCCATCTAATTTTACATGGACTTGGGAGTATGAACATGCGAAAGGTTTTTCATGAAAAAGGTAATATTCTCTTAATTATTTCATCTATGTAAAAGTCTCAAAACGGGCGGATTTGCTTAGTTAGCTTGATCACGTTCTTTGAGATTTCTGCCTGTCTCTGTAACAAGAAGAGGAAACAATTACGTTTTTTATTGCATTGAAATGCGTTCTTCAATTGCTATTTTTATAGATTTCGTTTACAATTAATTTGAATCAACGAAAAATGTGCACAAGTCCCACAAAAGGTGAACATATACCACGTGCTCAACACTTAACCAACAACTTATGGGACATTTGAATTATTCTCTCACCTTCTTTTAACAAAATGAATATCGAGACCTTCATTAAACATGTGATTTCATATTTGAGTGGCTCAATAAATCTAAATTAAGACTTTAAATCACACGTTTTAAGACACATTCATGAAAGGGAGCCAAGAATGTACCAGCTCCTGAATTCAGCAGGGTGAATTATCCTTTAGGTGGGAAACAATGAGAAAAGAAAAATGAAAAGAAACATGCGGGGGAGGTAAATCACGTGTTATTAGTCATTTTTTAATTCGAGAAACTCTCTTCCAACAGGAGTAAACAGGGTGGAAATGTGTGAATGAAATATCGGTGACGTCATAGAGGGGGGAGGTTTGCAAAAGAAGCGCCTCCGCAGCCGAAAACTGCGCACAATGAGACAAATAGCCACTTTTGTTTTTATTATCTCAAGTTTCTGCTTGGATTCAGGGGGTAAGATTCACTTTATTTCGCTTCTTTTGGGTTCTTGGAGCTTTTCAAAAGTTTCCCAGCATTTGTTGAATGTTGAAAATGTTTATGATCTTCGCATTGGTTTATTTCCTAAACGTAAGATCATTCCAATATGACCGTAATGTTGTTTGAATGAACCTAAGATGGGTAGTTTTTAAACCCCTTCTTATTTTTCAGATGTTTTCTCACAAGGAATTCACAGTTCAGTTTGATACCAAATGCGCCATTTGTTACTAAACCCGCTAATCCGGGTGTGTTTGGGCATCTGAAACTCCTTAACTTCGATGAATGGTTTCGCTAAATGAGCCGATCCATCTCTCGCTGCCAAGTTGTTCAAATCCGGTCATTTCAGGTCAGTGAGAAGCAGCTTCTAGAGGGGGGAGGGCAGCTCTCAGCATCCAAACACTGCAGCCAGTGACTTTCTGCACGAACTTTAGTTAAACAAATTAATAAATATTGGCCACCGTCCAGGTTTGAAAGTGACTCACCTGCAGGAGCGGGTGAAGACATTCCCCCCCCCCCCCGTCACGTGAATGAATGAGATGGCACAGGGCGGACCGAACGTCCCCCCCCCATGGAGCAAACGTGGGGGAAAGAAGAGATTCCGTCGGCTGGACGTGGAGGCTGCCGACGCTTCAGGTTGGGATGCATGTTTGGGCCGACTTTTAAACCGGCCGCATGAATCAAAGAGATTTGTTTTGTTGTTGTTTTTTCCGCGGATGAATATTTTATATACGGTAACGTAAGAAGCGGCAGCGTGAAGGACAGGCTGGCTGCGTTTTTTTTTTTAAATGTGCCATGGAGAATCATCAACAGGCGGGTCCGAATAGTTGAGGCACCGTTGTTCATTTTCATCTTCCACAAAATGCTGCGTCAATTTGATGCTTTCGCCGCACGAATCAGAAAAGCGTTTTTTGGTAATAACGTTGTCCAATAGTCGAGATCTCATTGGTGGATCCGAACCCAACCCCCCCCCCCTGCACGTCCTGCAGCCATTACCGTGGCTCCTCAAACCATGTGGCATTCTTGGCCCAGACCCCCATCATACTCTCAGAAACCCCCCCCCCCCCCCCCCAAACACACACCTCTTTCGCTCTTGTCACAAGTTCCAACTATTAAAAACCATCAAGCATTTAAAAAACACACACTAATGTAATACTGTAAGTGAGGAACCTCAAAGCCACCCAACTGATCTGACGTCGGTTATTCACTGCCTATCGGCCGTGTGTCCTAACAGCGCCGTGTAGGCTACAAGTAAAACTGTTCCCAGACCAGTGACTGGGGGGACTTGCCGTGAATAGCGACACCCGTCGGCTCGCTGCGGACAATCACTTGCACGGTGCTGCTCACCAAACGCGGTTTGAAAACTGATGCTTATTATTTCATACATATTTAATAACTATTATGAGTTCATAAAGGAAATGAAAAGCGAGGTATTTAAGTAATACGAACTTATATTTACGAATCACAATGAGTTTGTTTGAACTATAATGGGGAGGTGGGAATCCGCTCATCCGGTTGACGGGTTCGCCATGTTGGAAAAAAGTCGAAAAGTGTGATGCTGTTCAATATTTGACACCTCGCGGGAAGTTTTACGTTTTAACGAATAGTTTCAACTACAGAAAACGTATAAAATTATACATGTACAAACGTTGAAACGATAACATTGGCAAGTGGGCGGGAGTTAGTTCATTAATACTTTTCCGCTGAGCTATATAGTTCCTCAGGAATCATCGAGCTTTCATTTCCGGTTAGCGCATTGATATTTCCGTGGGGTCACAGGTGTGTGCGTGTGTGTGTGTGTGTGTGTGCGTGTTTGTGTGTGCGCGCGCGCGCGCTCATTGGTTGCTTGAGAAAGTCTTCAAACGTGTCAGCCAATAACAAATCACCTGTTTCAAAATACTTTTTTAGACAGAAAAGGTCTATCAACTATTTCAGACTCAAGGTCTATATAAACTTATACACACACACACACACACACACACACACACACACACACACACATATAAAAATAAAAATAAGGCTTTAAAGGATTTAATACCGATTTTACCGGGTGGCCGAGCGCCCCCTGGTGGGTCATCGTGCTCTCCTGCAATCCCGCACGTATGCATTGCTAATGTGTGGTACGATGATTAAAGGGGGAGTGGGCTTTTATTGGTCATTATTATTATGCTGTTTTTAATTATGCTTACTTATCCAGTCAATGATCAAGTAAAGTGATTACTTTTGAGTTTGTCACATGTTCTTATAATTCTTTTTCTCAAACTCCGCCTTCTGCTTATTTGCTAGAATTATTTCAGTTTTTTGTCATTGGGAATATTGTATTAATATCAAATTCCACGTCGCTAACATGTGACAATTTTGTTGGCCTTGATGTTGAAAATGTATGAATTCTATTTTTATACATTATTTTGTTAACGTACCTTTTATTCCATCATATAATAGTACAAGTGTAATAGTACAATTTCTAGAGCTGAAAAGTTAAAGATAAGATTTAAGTGGGTACGAAATGGATTTTAAAAAGTTAAAACATGCAAGTAATATAATTTCCTGATCCTTGTTTGAGTATTCAGGCATTTTAAGTAAACAATTTTTAGTTTAAGTTGAAGATTTAAGTGTGCTTATTGCGATGCGATTATATTTACTGGAATGTTTTTCTTTTAATTGTGTGGAAATTAAGAAATCTTTCTATTTTCAACAAATTCTTAAAACCCACTCTTATGACCTGATTTAATAAAGATGTTTCCACTTAACGAAAAACAAATACTGGGCCAATTTTTAAACCAGACAACAAAAAAGATTTGAAAAAAATTTGACTGAACAATAAAATGATAATCTCAAACCGTCTTCCAATTACTTTTTGTTTTGTAAATCATGTTTAAATCTTCACTTTAAATGTAATATTTCTTTAATGCTCCAAAAAGCTGAACAGGTGGTTATACATCAGAAAAATAAAAAATATATTAAAAAAAAACATTGGCCTTTTCTTTTTTGTTGGATTCAATTTAAAAATCTCAGGTTGAGGAAGTGTCGTTGGTGTAATCTTTCAACAGTAACTGCACCACACAAACATGAGCACGGGACACAGGAGGGTTCTTCCAGCCAGCCACACGGGGCCCTCTATTGGGCCCTCTGTCAGACCACCGATCTGCCCCTGCTGCAAGTATCGGCAGTCTTCAGAGTGAGCGCCCCCTGGCGGGAGGACTGGAGATGGACACGATGCTACGGGGGACACGTGAGACACGTACGGGAGCAGTGAATAAGGCATTAACATGGAAGGGACTTCGATCAGATTGTCCTGCTGCTGATGAGGATTTAGCAATGAATATATTCTTACATTTCCACCCGTGCAAATTTAGATGGAAGCAGAGGACAAAGAGACTGGAACACAAAAGGCTGCGCTCCGTGCGCTGCACATTTTCACCGTCAGATTTTTGTCCTCAGTTGAACATTTAAAAAGATGATTCCAAGAGAAGTGTTTCGATGTAAACTCACTGAGAAATAACACAACAGATAAGCACCAGAGCAAGATAGCATGGATAACAATACAAAATTCAAATGTAAATACGAATGTTTAAAAAGTGTCATTTTATTCACGTGGCACTTTGCCCCAATAAATGTATTAATGACATAACAAATGGGCACCACAAATCCGTTTGAAAAGTTGTTTATTGTAATGTAGCATTGTTTTTTATTCCCTTTAAAAAGGCAAATGACCAGAGGTAGAAATCATCAGTCTGAAAGAAATACGGGGACCGACATTTAAACACACACATGCTCTTTCACGCATGTTTTTTTTTGTTGTTGTTGTTGTTGTTGTTACAAGTTGCTCATCCACAGCAATACCCTTTTGCGGCGTAATCGCCTCGCTCTATACTTGTACACGCTGAAGTCACTCAACATTCTGTACACAAACGCAAAATAAATAATACGTGTGATTCGTGTTGAAACAACCTACAAATAACCTCATGACGGCTCCCTCCCGGTTGGCTGATGTACTGTAACGGTGAAGGTAACCCTCCCCCCCCCCCCCTCCTCCTCTCTGAAGGGAGCTGAACGGGAGCTGAAAGATCCGGTGTCGCGTTAGTGTGACGTTAAAGGGAAAGCGTGAACAGCTGGTGCGAGCAGTTATTCCCGAGCGGATTCGAACAGAGCAGAAGTCGGCACAAGTTATTTGACCCAGGAGATGTTGAGGCAGCGGGCGATGAAGGCGTAGGTGTCCGCCACCTCCTGGATGACCTTGCTGGTGGGCTTGCCGGCGCCGTGGCCCGACTTAGTGTCCACGAGGATGAACAGCGGGTTCGTCTGCTTGGGGTCGCGGCCCACGACGTGCTGCAGGGTGGCGATGTACTTGAGCGAGTGGAGGGGCACCACGCGGTCGTCGTGGTCCCCCGTCAGCAGGAGCACCGCCGGGTACTGGACCCCGTTGCCTTCTGGGACGCGGATGTTGTGGAGCGGCGAGTATCTGGCAAAGGGGAGCAGTGGAGGAGGCACGGAGGTCAGACGTTCGCACACGTCCAGGGATATATAAACTACCGGTGAATCCGGACCACAGGGACAGTCGACTCGATGCTTAATGAAAGCCAACATCGAGCATTTAATGATCCGCAGAAGTAAAAACAAACACGTCACTGAGCAAACGTACGCCGGCGAGCAACTTACTTCATGAGACACTCGAACTGATCTTGGTCGTCGGCGCAGCCGAAGTCGGTGGTCCAGGCGTGGCCGATGGTGAACTTGTGGAACTTCAGCATGTCCATGACGCCGACCTGAGCGACGGCGCAGCCGAACAGCTCTGGCCGCTGGTTGACGCAGGCCGCTGGGAGAGGGAGCACACGGTCAGAGGGGGGTTACACGCACGCACGCCAGGGAGTCGTGGCAGGTCTACATACCTACGAGCAGGCCCCCGTTAGAGCCGCCGTTTATGGTCAGCTTGGAAGGAGACGTGTAGCCCTCTTTGACGAGATATTCAGCCGCACACTGGAAGTCTGTGAAGCAGTTCTGCTTGTTGGCCAGCATGCCAGCTTAAAGGAGGGGATAACAAAGTACGTCAGAGGGGGGAGTTTCAGGTGGTGTCAACCAGCGAGATGGATGCGCACAACTGCGCTCACCTTTGTGCCAGGTCTCCCCGTACTCGCCGCCTCCTCGAATGTTGGCGACGGCCAGGACTCCTCCTAGATGTCGAACGAAAATGAGTCGGGAGACGCTGTAGCTCGGCGTGATGGAGATGTTAAAACCGCCGTAGCCGTACAGGAAACCGGGGTGGGAGCCGTCCAGTTTGATGCCCTTCTTGTGAACGATGAACATGGGGATCTGAGTGCCGTCCTTGGAGGAATAGAAGACCTGGCACAAACGCAGAGATCATCAGGATCCCAGATAGGACTGGAAATAGAGCTGGGACGTTAAGGGGGGCGGGGGGAGGGGCCACATGCATTGGGAGCATTGGGTACATTTCCCATTTTCACCTTTACAATGGTGGTAGAAATATAACAATAAATCTGAACTTTCTAAAGATCAATTGCCTTTAAAAAACAGACTACTTAAATATCATATTGAAAAATGTAATATTTAACAGAGTGGGGAATTTGTTCTGCTCCAGCACACACCACACGAGACTGTTTGCAACTTGATTGATAGCTCTTATTTAATGAGTCACTACTCCAAGAACTGGCATTCAGGCACAAATAAATGTAAAGAAAACGGAATACAGCTACACAGAATTACTTGGGTTACTTACCTGTGTGGTCTGGTAGTCCGAGGGGCTGAAGCCTTTGACCGTGACCTCTCTGAAGATGTGGGGCTGCAGCGGCTCCTGAGTCAGGTCGCAGTGGTAAATGATGGCTGGATGCCGGAGAACAGAAAAATTCATTGGACTCTATAATCTTTACAATTAATTTGATGACACGTGGGAAATGTTTTGCCATTGCTGCACATTTCTTTCGTTCTTATCCCGTGAAAAGTTTACATGTAATTTTTGTACAAAAAAAAAAAAATTGTAAAACGACACAGCATCTGCAAATGCTGCACAAACAGCCATTTAAGGCACAACGTGCATTTAGAGATCTCGTACCTGGGGAGAGGAAGGAGGTGAAGTAGTAAAAGATCTCAGAGTCCCTCTTCCTGCCTGTGAAACCCACAACGGAGCCGACATCCAGAGGGAAGGTCCTCAGCTCCTCCCCTGAGCTCAGACGGTACATCTTCAACACGTTCTTCACGTCGTGGAGGAAACACACAAACAGGTAGCTGGAGTACGTACAGGTGGCGAACACTGCGGGCGACACGTGGCCAAAGGAAGACATCACAGAAGAAGTTTAAAGGCACATTTCTACACAGATTCCTAATGTGTCCATAGCAAGAGGTCCTCGAGTGCTGCGGCGGCTCACCGATAACGTCCTTCTCGTGTTGAGGGATGAGCTCCTTCCAGCTGCTCTGAGCCGGCGAGGCAAAGTCAATGTTGATGAGGCGGTAACGCGGGGCGTCCAGGTTGGTCTTGAACGTGAACAACGTGCCCTCATTGGTCACATACTCGTACTCGGCGTCAAAGTTATCGATTAGCTTCACCCACGGCAAGAGTCCTAAACGTGGGAGGAGTCCCGTGATGAGAGCATTGGCCATGCAGAGGGCACACAGCTCAACAAGATAATACAAAGTAACACACCTGTAATACCCTGCGGAGTGGTTTTAAGGTCACAATACCACAGTCTGTTAACCGGATCACAACCTTCCCGGATAGACAGCAGCAGGTACCGTCCATCGTCTGATACCTGCAACATACAGATCATCACTGTACCGAACCTGAATACCAAGCAACACACCGTCTGCCGTTGGCTGACATTGCGGGGAAAGCAAAGTCGTGGAATACCTCGGCTCCGGCCATCCATTTGGGATGGTCAGGGAATTCTGCACAAAGCACGTCCTCAGACTGCGGAGTCCCCAAAACATGGAAGTACAGCTTCTGATGCAGGTTGGTGGAGGTCTCAGTGCCTAAGAGACAAAACATCAAACTCTCAGCATCGCCTCCTAGTGGTAGCAAAAAAAACCTGAAAGGGGGGTAGGGGGGCTGTGAAGTGGGTGTGGATTTCACAAACAACACAACTACATCAGAGTTGTGATAACAAAAAGATGCTACAAATACATCAGATTCCAAATGTACACACACAT